CCTTGGGATATTTTATGCTTCCCCTTATTGAGTTGAAGAGGATCATGTGAAGGAATTGTTTGCAGAGGGCTTTAAGGGGCCAACGTTGGAGCTGTACAGTCCATGACGTGTCCTGGCAGGTCGAATCTCCATCGAGGAGTATCGTGCACGGCTGCTCTCTGACATGCAGGCTCCGAAAGGATCCCCTGCAGATCAGCAGAAGCGAACTGAAGAGCCTAGGTTTGAAGCAAGGCAGGGGTAGCGCTGCCTCACCAGATCATACCAGCTCCCCAAGTTGTGTAGTGGCTGTTTCAGGGAGGCATGCCTTCCATTCGCAGCGGCCCCAATCTTGCCATGTAGCTCGCGCCGCCTGGGCTGTGCCGTACGTGTGCCCGTTGGTCCATCAAACCCTAAACCCTAAACCCTAAACCCTAAACCCTAAACCCTAAACCCTAAACCCTAAACCCTAAACCCTAAGCCCTAAACCCTAAGCCCTAAACCCTAAACCCTAAACCCTAAGCCCAAAACCCTAAACCCGGCTGCTCCAAGCTCATGTTGGTGTGTCGGCACGGCCGCGCCCGTCTCCATCTGGAGTTGACGCAGCATTCTTTGACGGTCGGGAACGCTGCTCAAGGCGGCTGCAGAAAACCGGTACCTGGAGGTTCACGGTACTTATAACCCACTGAGAAGCCTCGTAAGTGCCCTGGTATGGTTCTAATTGGGTTATAAGTACAGTTATTATTTGAGGGAATAAGCGCCATGAACGTCCGGGTAGCTGTGGAGGCTGCAGTTGTTGCAGTTGCCACTGACCATGTTGCGAGCACAAAGTTGCCGCCGTAGGCAGGGAGCTCAGCTGACAATGCCTGTCTCGTGCTTTCTGCTTGAAGCTCCAGAAAACCAAGTCCCCTGTGGATTTTCCGTTCAAGCCTACAATCCTGAGGTTGCCCCATGAACCCATCCCAACCCTAAATCCTCAGATCTCAGATACCCTAAACCCTAAATCTCAAACCCAAAACCCCAAAACCCTAAGCCCTAAACCCCCCCAGGTGTCATGTTTGGCGAGCCGGCGCTGGCCGCGCAGTTTTGCACTCAAGCGACGTCTCGAAGGGCAGCAGTGCAAAGCTCTTGCGGGGCTTAGAGAGCTTCAGAAACTTGAGTTTAGGGGCCAAGAGGTTTATGTCGTCTCATAGGACAGAATGGTTCCGACCTTTGCTGCCCCTTGTATACCCTATAACACCCAAAGGGCGCATACTTCAGAAGGTAAGGGACCATATTGTAGGATCCCCTTATCATAAGGACCCCAATACGGTACCCCAAGTATCGTCAACCCCATGTGGGACCAGTTTTGCTTTCTGCTTAGGGGTTAGGGTTGTTGGCCTTGTGTTTGAATATGGCAGCGATGCTTTCGTGCGGTGGCGCTGCGGCGGCGGGGATGCCCGCTGTGCGACGCTTAGGGCAAGTATTAGGGTTTAGGGTGTAGGGTTTAGGGTTTAGGGTTTCGGGTTTAGGGTTTAGGGCACATGCTGGGATTTGATCTGAGTATGGGCCCTTTTTTTTCGGGCTTCAATCATGGAATAGTACTTCTTGTTTGGGGTTGGACTGGAGTTTGTACATGGAGCACATGTGGAGTTGTGCATGTGCTGTAGTCGTGTCATCGTTAGCTTTTTTGCCTCCAGTGCCCACCAATCAGGCATGCAACATGTAGCACGAAGCGATGCAGACAACATTGTTTCAACCCTGGCCCGCACGACCCAAAACTCTGGACCCACAACCCTCAACCCCAGTGCTCCTAAACCCAGAACCCTAAACCCTAAACCCTAAACCCTAAACCCTAAACCCCTAAACCCCTAAAGCCCTAAAGCCCTAAACCCTAAACCCTAAACCCCAAAACCCCAAATATTCTTCTTTGGAGCCCAAAGCCATGGTCAAAGACATCTTCGGACGCGATCGCTTTCACTGCACTGCGCCGGGCTGCTCCTGCCGGCTCCTCATGGTCTTGGGCTTTCGGGGGTAGGGGGGAGGGGGTTTAGGGTTTAGGGTTTCGGGTTTACGGGTTTAGGGTTTAGGGTTTGGGGTTTAGGGCTTGGGGTTTAGGGCTTGGGGCTTGGGGTTCGGGGTTTGAGGTTTTGGGTTTAGGGTTTGAGGTGTGGGGTTTAGGGTGTAGGTTTGGGTGGGCCCTCATGCTTTTGGTTAGGCCATGCATAGACTTTCGTTGGGTCGCTCTTGGTTCTTGAGGGCTTAGGGAGGCTTTAGGCTCTGTAGGGGTTTTAGTTGTTTTTTTTGGCTCAACCGTCGGTGGTTGTAGCCTTGGGGTCTTGTGGGCTTGGACGAACTTTTGGGGTGCAGCCTTTGTCTACGCTGGGAGTTGTGGGTTTTGCAGTTTTAGGTTTCCCGCAGATTTGGGGCGGAGGGGGCGGGGGGGTTGCGGGTTTAGGGCTTGTTTTTGTTTTTTTCCGAAGCCTTGGGCTGTGTCGGTTGAGGGTTGGGGGGGGGGGGTTTAGGGCGACTTGGAGCCATGTATTCCAGTACGGCTCTGTAGTTTGACTGGGAAACGAAGCACTCAACCCTCCCAAGCACCTGAGACAAGCGCTTAGACTCCTGCCACCTGAGCACCCCTTGAACAGCCCTAAACCCTAAACCCTAACCCTAAACCCTGAACCTAAACCCTAAACCCTAAACCCTAAACCCTAAACCCTAAACCCTAAACCCTAAACCCTAAGCCCTAAACCCTAAAGCCTAAACCCTGCACCCTAAACCCTAAACCCTAAACCCTAAACCCTAAACCCTCAACCCTCAACCCTCAACCCTCAACCCTCAACCCTCAACCCTCAACCCTCAACCCTCAACCCTCAACCCTCAACCCTCAACCCTAAACCCTCAGCCCTAAACCCTAAAACCCTAAACCCTAAACCCTGAACCCTTGAAATCTAAACACGCTCCAGGCAACCTGGAGGAATCCTTTGCACAACCTTTCAGCAACCCTCAAGGAGCCGGTAGGCCAACCCTTAATTCAGCCTTTCAGCAACCCCTCAACAACCTCTAGGCAACCTATACGCAGCCCTTCAACAACCTATTAAAGAACCTCTCCAACTCCAGGCGTGGACTTTCAAAGCGTCCCTGGGCGCCCTACTGGGAGGTTCATGGCCCGGGGGTGATGGGACTCCGAAATTCGCAACTGGCTGTCCCCATGGGGACCTTCTTGCCACAAATCCGATCCTCAAAAAGGCCGAACGTAGAAAGATCGAAGCCGAGGTTCGGCGTAGGGTTCAGGCTTCAGGGGATGTGGGACCCTAGCCCCTAAACCCTAAACGGCCCCCAACCCTGAAACCTGAACCCTAACAACCCCTAAACCCTAAACCCTAAACCCTAAACCCTAAACCCTAAACCCTAAACCATAAACCCTAAAACCTAAACCCAGGAAGCTCAACGCGATGTCGCCCAAGCGGAGGAAGAGGGGCTCCTTGACTTCCGAGTTTTGGTCGGGAGTTCGGGTTCAAGGGTTTAGGGTTTAGGGTTTAGGGTTTGGGGTTTAGGGTTTAGGGTTTAGGGTTTAGGGATCAAGGGTCTAGGGGTTTAGGGCTTTCGGAGGGTTCAGGGTTTAGGGTTGAGGGGTTTTGCGTGCAGGCCCGTGTTGGCGGTTGGCGTAGGGAAGTGGGGAAGCGGGTAAGCTCTATACGGTCCAAAAGTCATGGGTTCCCCTACTACCCCCTCTATACTACCCCCTGGGTTCCCCCCTTAAATAGCCTTAATTAGGCGCTTAATTATCCCTAAATAGCCTTAATTTTGGGGGGAACCTAGGGGGGGGGTAGTATAGAGGGGGTAGTAGGGGAACCCATGACAAAGGGATATAAGGTACTTCGTCCCCATATCTCCTCACGAAGACCTAGGAAGTCGGCGGTCGGTGTCGGATTGAGGGTCCGGGGTTGATGTAGGATCTAGGGGTTTTAGAGTTGGGTAGGTGTTTGTCGGTTGGTTCAGGCTAAAAAGGGTTTAGGGTTTAGGGTTTAGGGTTTAGGTCTCGAGCCCCTGCATGATCATCATCTGACAGCATACCATCTTGTGGCGGGGCTTCCTTCCTTCGAGCGCCAGTTTCGATGCGTTCTCAAGGTCCCTCCCCCCCCTACAGCCTCCATACGCTGAACCCTAGACACCCTAAACCCTGCCCTCTCCCCCCCTCCCCTAGCCCAAAACAAAACCCTCACCCCTAAACCCTAACCCATGGGTCGGAAGAATTGCTGATAGTACTCCCTTATGGCCCCTTTGTAAATATGCTATAGTAACCCCCCAGAACCCTATTCTGATTATATTGAGGCCCGTAGATTACGAGAGTAATGCGGTGTTTTCTTCAGAGCCCTATAGGCTCAGCATGGAGGAGATGGAGTCTAAGTCGGCTTCCCAGAGGGGCATGTCTGGGTTGCTGCAAGGGAATTGGGGTTTAGGGTTTAGGGTTTAGGGTTTAGGGTTTAGGGTTTAGGGTTTAGGGTTTAGGGATGTTTTGGGTTTAGGGTCTTGGGGTTTAGGGTCTTAGGGTTTGAGAACCTGCCACAACTTTTGGAAGTTTGTCAAGTAGTACGGCCTCCCAATCATGGTAAGTGACTTCAATTTCTTCACAGCAGCCCGGCTATTAAGATGATTTTTTGCCGCGAAGCAGCTTCCTGATTCGACCAGGACACGCCGAGTTACCTTCGGGTTTTCTGAAATCGGGTTCCAGCCCCGAATCTGCTTCCCAGGGTTTAGGGTTTAGGGTTTAGGGTCTGTACAAGGCTTCTCGAACACGAAGGTCGTTCGGCTTCCGCTCAGTGGGGGTTCTGGTGACATTTGAGCCCTGCGCCGAAAGCCGAAGCCTACACCCGAGACCCGAAAGAGTTTAGGGTTTAGGGTTTAGGGTTTAGGGTTTAGGGTTTATGGTGCAGCTTGTATATCGCATTCGCTGACACCCAGGGCGAGCTTGCATTGCCTCAGGTATCACTCGATGACTTGCCAGGCAAAGTCGATGTACCAGCGTCCTGGCCACAAACAGCATGCTTGAGCTGGAGCCTGGGCTTGTGGAAAAGACAATTTGAATGTATTAAAAGTTATTATTATTATTAGTATTATTACTAGTATTATTATTATTATTATTATTACTATTATTATTAGTATTAGTATTATTATTATTATTATTATTATTATTATTTTTTATCATTCATTAAACCTCAATACAGTTGTATATCATTTGCCAAATGACCTCGAGAGCTGACGAGGTTGACGTGCGTCTGTGGCCACGATGCCAACAGCCATTCGCAGAAGCCTGCTGCGGTGCCTGCTCCAACACAGCTGGCGCTGGGCCACTTGTCAGATAAAAACCCTAAACCCTAAACCCTAAACCCTAAACCCTAAACCCTAAACCCTAAACCCTAAACCCTAAACCCTAAACCCCAAACCCTAAACCCTAAACCCTAAACCCTAAACCCTAAACCAGACATCTTGGGCTGCCTGATGCCTTCGGCTTGAAGGGCACGGGGGCATGGGTGGCCAACGCTGTCTGTGGCAGGTGCTCTGGAGACCTTCTCCGATACCGAGGATGCCGGCATGTGCCCTGCCGACAGAACTTTCCTGTGGGGGATCCGAAGATAGACCCCCCCAAAATAGTAGGATTCCCTCCCAATCAGGAACCCCAGCAAGGTAGCCCGAATGTCGGAAAGCACCTTGTTGTCCAAGCGGCAAAGCAAAGCTTTGTTGATTTCCGACCTGAGGTGGAATGTTCTCCAGGGAGTATGGATAAGAAAGGATGGAGATGATCCGACGCCACTTTCCAAGCATTCACGAATGAGCGCAGGGTGCACGGCGTTCTACTCACGAGTTCTTAATCAGTCTTCGGCCACAAGTGTGTGACGCCTGAGGACACAGCAGGTCAAGATCCTTGGCTGAAGGAGAGAAACCGCCAGCAGCCTATGGCGGCCTCGGGCAACCTTCTCAGCCCCATAACCATGGCAGATACCAAGGTTTGTGCAGGGGTATAGGGTTTAGGGTTTAGGGTTTGGGGTTTAGGGTTTAGGGTTTAGGGTTGAGTTTGGGGGCTTCGGGCTTAGGGCCTAGCGCTAGCGCCATGCTTCTCAGGAAGGCCAAGAGAAGGGAACCTCTCCACTGCACGGCTCAACGCTGGCGCGGCCCCAGCGGAGGCGAGGGGGTGGGAAGAGTAAGGGGCCCCCAAAAGAGTTCCAGCTTCACTTCGTCGCTACTCTGAACCCGAAACCCTAAACCCCAGGCACAAAGAGCCCGAAGTTTCACGACTCTGTTCCTGCTTCTCATGAAGGGTGCGGGAAATGAGCCTCAACAGAAGACCTTTCCGTAAACCCCAAGCCCTAAACCCGAAACGCGAGACCCCAAACCCCAAACCCCAAACCCCAAACCCCAAACCCCAAACCCTAAACCCCAAACCCTACACCCTAAACCCTAAACCCTAAACCCCAAACCCCAAACCCCAGACCTCTTGTGCGCGTGGGACCAGGGCTGTGGGCTCAGTTGGATGCTGCTAAGCATGGGCCTGGCTGGGTGCTCATCGAAGGCGAGGAGAGATTGTCCTGGGGTTCGGGGGGTGTTTAGGGAGGTTTAGGGTTTAGGGTTTAGGGTTTAGGGTTTAGGGTTTAGGGTTCAGGGTTTAGGGTTTAGGGTTCAGGGTTTAGGGTTAGGGTATGCCCACGATGTATTCCGGGTATACTTAGGGTGCATTTAGGGTATACCTAGGTTATATTATGGGTCTATTTAGGGTATACTTGGGGTATAGTTGGGGTATGCTCAGGGTACACTTAGGGTATATTCAGGGTACATTTGGGGTATACTTAGGGTACATTTGGGGTAGATTCAGGGTATATTTAGGGCATCATCTAGGGTATTACATTTAGGGTATACCTAATGGTGTTTTTAGGGTATCTTTAGGGTGTATTTGGGGCATGCTCCGGGTTTTTGAGTATATTTGGGGTAGAACCAAGAACTCGTTCTAGAACATGTAGGGTTTAGGGTTTAGGGTTTAGGGTTTAGGGTTTAGGGTTTAGGGAGGTTTCTAGTTTCCAGGCTGTGCTTTGCTTCTTTTCTCTTGTGCGTGAGGGGGAGGGATGGAGGAGGGTTCTATCTGAGGGAACCCACACCGTAAACCCCAAGCCCAAAACCCTACACCCTAAACCCTAAACCCTAACTAAACCCTAAACCCTAAACCCTAAACCCTAAACCCTAAATCCCAAACCCCAAAAAATCCGGTGCGAGGCCCCGGCTTCGGGTTGACTGGGCCGCTGCTGCAGCGCGCGGCACCGGCCACCTGAGCCCGAAGACAAAATGCGCCGGCGAGTGGAGGGTTTGGGGTTTGGGGTTTGGGGTTTAGGGTTTAGGGTTTAGGGTTTAGGGTTTAGGGTTTAGGGTTTAGGGACTAGATCCTAGGGCTTAGGGTTTAGGGTTTAGGTTGTTTTTAGGGAAGTGGAGCTCGCTGGGCCCAGCCCAGAGACTTCTCGACATCATTTCTTTAGGGTCTCTTTTTGGGAGGGTCCTTGTTTCTGTTGAGGGTGACGTGCTCGATCCTAAACCCTAAACCCTAAACCCTAAACCCTAAACCCTAAACCCTAAACCCTAAACCCTAAACCCTAAACCCTAAACCCTAAACCCTAAACCACCCATACTTCGTTCCCCCCCTAGTTGAGAGAGCTTCGTGGCCGAGGTGCAGCGAGGCATCCCCCTTGCCCAGTCTTTGGGGCGTTCGGAGCCTCGAAGTGGCCTCGACCAAGGAGGCCAGCTGCTCAAGAAGGAAATCCTGCCGGGTTTAGGGTTTAGGGTTTAGGGTTTAGGGTCTAGGGTTTAGGGTGTAGGGTTTAGGGTTTAGGGTTTAGGGTTTAGGGTTCAGGGCATGAGCATGTCTTGCAGAATTTTTCGTGCAAGCTCCCTCCCCTGGTCTTGGGAGGTCGTGCCGCCTCTGCCTTGGCTGCGTGCGCGGCGAGCGTGGCGGCTGGCAGGCCAGGGCGTGGATGATGTAGCCATGCTGTGGGCTTCGTGTTTAGGTTTATGGTACTTACTTTCCAATTATAACTCTACTTCGAACCCACTTATAAGCCCCTTAAGTGCCCTAATATGATTAATTCTAAGTACATTTTTTGGTACAGTTACAATGGGTGTTTAGGGCTGCTCATGCCGATGGCTGTCCAGGGGGATTAAGACTCGTACCCCTCAGGTTGCACTCCTAGAGGTTTCCCTCCTTTTACTCCTAATATGGCCCTTAGTATGACCCTGATATCCCCGTAGAGGACCCTTAAAAAGGCCAAGATCCGAGCCTGTCAGCCGCAAGTTGCCCTTGGCTCAGCTCGGGTTCAGATTCAGACCTAGCTCCCTTGCCGCAGCAATGGGCAACTGCTCAGGGGCCAGCCAGACAGCAGGTGTATCGGGACCTGTGGAGACGGAACGCCAGCCTCTTCGTGTTGAGGTCTACCATATGGGTCACTTCTGGGACGAGCAGGACTACGCTTCCGGGTAGGCACTTGGGATGTGTTATACTCCTGCTTATAATTGGTTGGTTTCTGTTCGAAGCATGCTCAAGAGGGATTTTTTTTGCAACTCGACCAACCTAGGTTTCGTACTGGAAGGAGTTCCACCTGAAATCTGATGGCAGCGTCTCGGAGTACAACTGTTGTGCAGGCTCTGGCTTGGGCTTGTGTGGCAAGATTGAAAGATATGAGCGCCTCGAGCGCCAAGGCACGTACACCATGGCGGTGGGTCCGGCGAAGGCCGAGCAGCTTGACATAGTTTGGGAAAGTGGTCTGAAAGACGTCCTCAAGGTCGGAGAAGGGTCCTTGCGTAAAGGGCACCCTCTCGGGCTTTCCCCCGCGGAGCTGGACGCGGCCATCGAGAGGCAGAATGCCGCGAACGCTGTCAAGGAGAAGGAAAAAGCCGAAGGGAAACCATGAACCCTAAACCCTGAAGCCTAAGATGTACATGTATATATGTCTGTAAAAATGTAATGATATGATATGATATTTTTATTATCTTTGATATATTGTTATATATTATATCAATGTACATGTCCCCAAGCCAGCGGAAAAGCTCAAATGACTTTCGTCTGTGGCCTACATGGTCACAGACCTTTTTGCCGCAGCTGTGAGCTCATTCAGCGTGGCGTGTCCTTGGCGGCCCTGTGGTGTTCTTTCGTAAGCCCTTTTTAGGGGTTTAGGGGGTTTAGGGTTTCGAAGCTCAGCAGTTTATGTAGGCTTTAGAGTGTAGGTTGTAGGGTCTGGTGTGGTTTACTGGCCAACTGGGCTGCCAAGTACCAATTCTGTTATTCCAGGCAGTTCCGGTGTTGCCAAGGGAGAGTCCTGGCCACTTGTACAGCTTCACGCCTGGCGCCAACATGAACCTTGCTGATCCTGAGCCCGAAGCCCAAGACCCGCCGCTGTTTTGTTGAACCCCAAGCTCGAAATAAGCCCTAAACCCTATAAACCCTAAACCCTAAACCCTAAACCCTAAACCCTAAACCCTAAACCCTAAACCCTGAACCCTGAACCCTGAACCCTGAACCCTGAACCCTGAACCCTGAACCCTGAACCCTGAACCCTGAACCCTGAACCCTGAACCCTAAACCCTAAACCCCTGCAACGTGAAACAACCCCCAGATCTCCCCATAAACCTTTCCCCGAAGCAGCCCTTCACCCCCAAGCCCAAAACCCCGAAGCCCCATTCCAAACCCAAGGGTAAAACCTAGAAATCCAACCTAAACCCTAAACTCTAAACCCTGAACCCTAAACCCTCAACCCTAAACCCTAAACCCTCAACCCTAAGCCCTAAGCGTTAAACCCTAAACCCTAAACCCTGGTAGAGTCCCATGAGCTGTGGGGAGAGTGGCAAACGAGCTAGAGCCGCACCTTCGCAGGCGTGTTCGGCGGCCCTATGCCAGCAGCAGGCATCTGCCGATGGGGGCCCAGTCGCAGTGATCCTCAGCCCTAAACCCTAAACCCTAAACCCTAAACCCTAAACCCTAAACCCTAAACCCTAAACACCGTGACACCGTGGATCAGAGAATGAAGTTCCAAGAGTCGATGTTTTCATTCCCACTGTGCACGAAGTCATGGTCTACAGTACACTCCAGAAAGTTGTCCTAAACCTTAAACCCTAAACCCTGAACCCTAAACCCTAAACCCTAAACCCTAAACCCTAAACCCTAAACCCTAAACCCTGGCTTCAGGATGATTCGAGCTGGGATTCCCTTTAGTGTACCTGTTGGGGTATGGGGATAAGGATGCTACGACATTGTCCCGGAAATCCTTACACAAATTGGGGTTTAGGGTGAAAGGAGGCCAAATAATGACCGATATCATCCCTGAACAATCCTTACACAAATTGGGGTTTAGGGTTTAGGGTTTTAGGGTTTAGGGTTACACAAATTGACAAGCATCTACCCCAAACATCATTCTTCGGGGGGGGGGGGGGTGTTTTGAATTTGGGTCACTTTCGCGTTTTTCTTCGGGCTAGGGAGCCCTAAACCTTGAACCCTAAACCCTAAACCCCTTAGTAGTCTTCTGCTTTCAGTATGCAAGGTTATCAAACAGGGACCCGAATTAAACCCTAAACCCTAAACCCTAAACCCTAAACCCTAAACCCGAAACCCTGGACTCTAAACCCTAAACCCTAAACCCTAAACCCTAAACTCTAAACCCTAAACCCTAAACCCTCAACCCTGAACTCGGCATCGGTTTCGCCGGGTGACGTGCTCGATGGGGAACCCTAAACCCTAAACCCTAAACCCTAAACCCTAAACCCTAAACCCTAAACCCTAAACCCTCAATCCTGAACCCTGAACCCTAAACCCTCAAGAAGAGCTCTTGCTTAGGCTCTCCACGCTTCAAGTACAGCTCCGGGAGGCTCGAGCTCTGAGCCTTCTAGGGTTCAAGGGGTTTAGAGGTTTAGGGTTTAGGGTTTAGGGGTTTAGGGATAAGGGGTTTAGGGTTTAGGGTTTCGGGGTTTAGGGGTTCAGGAGGCAGGAGGAGGGGTAGGCGAGAAGGGCATGGTCTTCCTTGCGGCTAATCTAGAAGTGGGGTGAACACGTGACGCCAACGGAACATGTGGGCGCTCTCCAGTTGCAACCTCGCAAGAGTTCGAGTTCGGAGTTTAGGGTTTCGGGTTTAGGGTTTAGGGTTTGGGGTTTAGGGCGTAGGGGTTTAGGGTTTAGGGTTTAGGGCATGTTCGTCGGCACGAATGGTCTCTTTCCCGCAGCTTAGAAGTCCTGGCTCATCCCCTCGCGCGAACTCTGAGACATGGCGAAGCTCAACGTAACGGTCGGAGCCTCGGAGAGAGACAGACCTTTGGGCTTTGGGCTTGGGGTTTAGGGTTTAGGGTTTAGGGTTTAGGGCTTAGGTTTTAGGGTTCAGGGTTTAGGGTTTAGGGTTTTTTGGGGGGGGGGGGGTTGGGGCTTACTTGGAGGCTCATAGGTAAGTGGGTAACGATGGTTATAGCCTTACTTAGGGCATTTGTAGCCCTAGTTATAAGAATCCCAATGAACCTTCAAGTGGACCCTAAGCCCTAAGCCCTGAACCCGAAACCCTAAACCCTAAACCCTAATTCCTAAACCCTACATACAACCTTAGTTTAGAGGGACTTCCTCCCTCAGGGGCGTAGCAAAGGTTGTCGGCAGCGGCAACTGGGGTATGGCCATCGCGACCATCATCGCAGGCCTCCGCACAGGGTTCTTTTGGTGGTAGGGATTGAGGGGTTTAGGTGTTAGGGCTTGGGGTTAAGGGTCTAGGGTTTAGGGTTTAGGGTTCAGGGTTTAGGTTTAGGGTTTAGGCCTACGGCTTAGGGCTTCCATAACTGGTTGGGTCGGCGAAGGTATGTTTATCGATGGTATCTTCTTTGCACTATTTTAATCCCGTAAGTGCACCCATCCAATCTTGGGAATCGTGTGGTGGGTGACGATCGCCGACGCGGCTTCTTTCCCACCATCCTTAACTACGATTAGCATGATTATTGCTAGTATGTTTATTATTCCTAATAGTATTATTGCTGCTCTTTTTGCTTGTACAATTTATTACGATGTCTTACGATTGCGATTACGACAGTTTCTATTATCATGTTGGTTGTTATTCTCGCAGTTCGTACTAGTGATGTTATTTCCATATTTCCAGAATCATGACTCCTACTATTTCTTCGCAATTGCGTTTATTCTTACTGTTATTGCTATTACTGCCATTGTTGCTACGATTATGACGATCAGAACTACGACTACTATGCCGATTATGACGATAATTCGCTTTTCTTGCTAGTACTGGTATGATTTTGATACTTACTATCAAGAAGTACTTTTTTCCTACGGCGATTACTGCTACCAGTACATTACTGTAAGTGTTGTTATTCTGTTATATCTGCTATTTCTGTTTTTGCGGCCATTGCTGTTCTTACTGTCAATACTGCTGTTTCTGCCATATGGGGGTTTACGAAAATAAGGACCCCTGACATAGACCCTAAAATAGTAGGATTCTCTACAATAAGGGCCTCAATAAGGTACCGGTTATTTCGGAAACCCTAAACCCTAAGCCCTGAACCCTGCACCCTAAACCCTAAACCTTATAATCGGGACCCCAATAAGGTACCCCTAATGTCGGAAACCCCCCCCCCCCCCCATATCGGTGATTGGTAGTTTTTGCTACTATTCCCCATCGCCCATCATGGAGCCCCCGCGTGACAGGCAACACCTCCAGGCATGATGAGTTCGAGGATAACCTGACCGTCCTTGGGCAGACAAGCCTGAAAAAACCTAAACCCTAAACCCTAAACCCTAAACCCGAAACCCTAAACCCTAAGCCCGAAAGACAGCCAACCTCAACTGTCGGCTAAGGTCTGGATGTTCGAGGAAGAAGTGCAGCACAAAGGAGTGAAGCGCAAGCTCTCGGAAGTCTTCAACGAGACAAAGGCCATCTTCTTGGTAGCCCAGTGGTAACCTCTACCCTTTTTCTGGGTTATGGGTTCCCCTGTAAAGTAACCAACCAAAAAAGGGTGCCTTTTTGTGATACGGTTTCTGGGCGACTAGAGGTCGTTTTTGCCATAAAGACACGATCAAAAGCTCGCCCCCCCAAGAGACCGCAGAACTCTCACGGCGTCAGACCGGAGTTGCTGTGGCTTTTTCACAAAGGCAGAAGGCTCAAAGCCCTGAAGTAAACTCGAAACCCTAAACCCTAAACCCTAGACCCTAGACCCTAGACCCTACACCCTAGACCCTAGACCCCAGACCCTAGACCCTAAACCCTAAACCCTAAACCCTAGACCCTAAACCCCAAATCAGCTTTGTGACCTTCCCTAGCCAGGAGAACGTGAAGTACCTCCCGGGTATCACTTTGCCGGAGCACGTCAAGGCGGAGCCGGACCTGAAGAAGGCGCCCGGACAGGATTGTTATTCGATTGCGCAGGGGTCACAGCCCTCTTAGCCTCTGTTGTTGGGGGTTTCGGGTTTAGGGTTTAGGGTTTAGGGTTTAGGGTTTAGGGTTTGGGGAAAAGGGTTTAGGGCCCAGAGTTTTTAGGGTTTAGGGGTCTGTGCTCTCCATTGTCGCAGGCAGTGATGTATGCCGACGTCCTGATCTGGGTGCTGCCGCACCAGTTTGTGGCAGGTGCCTGAGGATGCAGTGCTGCCGGCCCATCCTGCGCTTTAGGGCATTCAACTGGGTACGTGTTTTCCGAAAGGGGGGGATCGTTTGGGATGTTCCCCCTTATACTAACAGTCCTGTAGGGCTTGGGCTTAGGGTTTAGGCTTCTTTTAGGTTGTAGGGCTTATGCTTAGGGCTTCGGGCTTAGGGTCCAGGGGCTTATACGGGGTTAGGGGTTTTCTCAGGGCTTTGGGGCTTTAGGGGTTCATGCTGCAGGCCAGGACTGTGCAGAACATGGGCAAGATCAAGGACACTTGCGTCTCTGTCAGCTCGGACCTCAGGGTTCTTACGGCAGGGGGGGGGGGGTTTCATGGGGGGTAGGAATGTAGGGAAGTTTGGGGGGCTTGTCACGTTCCTCCTGTCTTAACCGAGAGCATAAGCGGCTGCACAGTAACGGCTTCGCTGGATTGCACTCAGCCCCAAAACCCCGACATTCCCCTAAGGCCCCCAAACCCCCCAAACCCCCCAAACCCCTAAACCCCTAAACCCTGAGAACCCGAAACCCCTAACCCCTGAACCCTAAGCCCACCAAACCCCTAAACCCTAAGAACCCTAACCCCCCCTAACCACTAAGAACCCTAAACCCTCGAAACCGCCCAAACTCCTAAACCCTAAAGTCGAAACCCCTAAAACCTAAACCCTCTCAACCCAAAACCCTAAACCCCCTAAACCATAAAGAACCCGAAACCCTCTAAGCCCCCAAACCCTAAACGCTAAACCCCTAAGAGCCCTAAACCCCCTAAACCCTAAAACCTAGAGACTCTGAACCCCCAAACTCGTATCCCCTAAACCCTAAACCCTAAACCCCCCAAACCCCCAAACCCCCAAACCCCCTAAACCCCTTAAACCCCCCAAACCCCCAAACCCCCTAAACCCCCTAAACCCCCCCCCCAAACCCCCAAACCCCCAAACCCCCACACCCCCAAACCCCCAAACCCCCAAACCCCCAACCCCCCAAACCCCCAAACCCCCAAACCCCCAAACCCCCAAACCCCCAAACCCCCAAACCCCCAAACCCCCAAACCCCCAAACCCCCAAACCCCCAAACCCCCAAACCCCCTAAACCCTAAACCCTAAACCCTAAACCCTAAACCCTAAACCCTAAACCCTAAACCCTAAACCCCCCCTTAACAAGGCCTCATCAAGGGCGGCCTCGAGCTCGAGGGTGGCAAACTTGGCCTTTGCTCCGACTTGCTGCGGAAGCTCCTGGGGCACGAGGCGGGGGGTTTAGGGTTTAGGGTTTAGGTTGTAGGGGTTAGTGATTTAGGGATTTAGGGGTTTAGGGGTTTAGGATAGGGGTCTAGGGATAGTCCGCCGCTGGTTTCGGGCCTTAAACGCCGAACCAATCCGGAAGCCAGAACACTTTCTTTTTGGCCTTTTCGATTGTTAAACCCTAGAACAAAGCTTCCAAAGCCTTGAAGCCCAAAGCTTCAAAAACCCTAAAGCCAGGGCATTGGGTCTCAGAGCCCGTGGCGTCGTGGACAACTTGCCGTAGCAACCACCAGCCATCACGGAAAAAAAACATGCGATATTTGGGGGTTGACGAAAGAAAGGGGCCCTGAATATGGACCCCACATAGTAGGATCCCCATATAATAAGGACCCCAATAAGGTACTCCGGATATCGTAAACCCCCCCCTTGTCTATGTTGGGGATGTTCAGATCCTTGCCAGCACTCGAACCCGCAGACTTTGGCGAGGTGGGCGTCCTGATGGGAGCCAATGCTTGAAGCTGAGCTTGTGCCAGGAGACAGTTAGGTGATGCCAGCTCTGCATGAGTGGAGCCAGGGGTGTCTGTCACCCTAGACCTTAAACCCTAAACCCTAAACCCTAAACCCTAAACCCTAAACCCTACACCCTAAACCCTAAACCCTAAACCTTAAACCCTAAAACCTAAACCCTAAACCCTAAGTCGCCCAAGACTTGATTCAGGTCGCCAACGAGGTGGCGGCCGGAGAATTTTGCGAGGCAACCTTGGGAATCAAGGCAGGGTCGGTACCATGCACGCAGAGGAACGTCGCAGAGGAACGTTCAAATCCAGGGTTTAGGGTTTAGGGTTTAGGGTTTAGGATTTAGGGCAAGAGAAATAGTCAAGAACAACCACGGCAATAACAGAACGAAATGGCAACAGTAGCAGATATTTAGAAAACAGAACACCGCCGCATGTTGCCAGGACAAGAAGCACCAAGCCACCCTGGTGAAGCTGTCAGTTGCCTCGAACTTCAGCCACGACCAGTTTTCGTCATTGTTCGTTGGAATTTGGTGTGCTAAGTAGAGGTTCGCGTTCTTCTTAAAGCTACTCTTGTGTGTTGGCATTGCTTTTGTGGTTGTTGTGATGGTCATGTGCTTCTGTTGCTATAGTTCATAATCGTTATTCTGTTGATCATCAGCAGCATCATCATGAGTATTACCGTTGTTATTCCGTTCCCTTCCAATTTGGGAAAGCTTCTTGTCTACCCATTTTGGCATTGCTGGTCTTGGGTTGAGAAGGCCCCTTAGGGCAGGCAATGCGAGGCACCCGACAGATCAGCGACGCCTAGTTCCACAGGGTTGCGTTTAGGGTTTGAGGGCTTGGGGATTTAGGGCAAAAGTTTCGTCTGACACAGCCTCCGCCTTTCAGGTTTGACTGCAGGACGTTCCGCGTAACTGCAGTGGACGATATCCCAGGCCGCACACTCCATTCTGCTGTTGCTTGCCAGTTGTTTTGGTTGTGGGCAATTCGGGAATTAGGGTCTCTATGTGTCTCTATATACTCCCTGAAAGGGCGATATGCCTAATCCCTAGTTCCCCTAGTAAGAACCAGTAATTTGCTTGAGTGGCAGAACGTTGCCTTGTTTCGAGAGATCCCTTGGGGGGAGGACGAAATGCAGAAGACTTGGGAGGATGAGAACATGTACAATGGCAATGACCATGATAACGCTAAGAACACCACGATGAATGTAAAAGAATGCAACAACAAGCCTATTCTGAATGCGACTCCTACTCATCATTGCAATCTAGATTGAAAAATGCTAGGTACTCGCCACATTCAGTTCCTCTTCTCGTAGTTTCATGGGCCCCTAGTATGGTCCCTTACTTCTTTTACAGGGTTCTGAAGTACGAGCCCTTAAATTGTGCAGGGTAGAAAGGCGGGGTATATAAGGGGTCCCAATTGACAAGCCCATACGAAGAGACCATGTCTTAACCCCTAAACCCTAAACCCCAAACCCCAAACCCCAAACCCTAAACCCTAAACCCTAGACCCTAAACCTTAAGATCCAAAATCTAGCATCCAAAAGTTCCGAAGCCTCGATCTTCACAGGTGTGGAGCTCTGTGGTGCACTGAAGAACGTTGTAGCGCTGGGAGCAGGCCCCTGCAATGGTGGATGTAGCTGGGCCCCGAGGTTTCGTAAGGGTTTGGGGTTTGGGGTTTAGGGTTTAGGGTTTAGGGTGCAGGGTTTAGGGTTTCGGGAACCTACTTACTACAAGGCTACTTCTAGGTTACTCGAGGGTTCTATAGGGGCTTTGCAGTTTTGAATGGTTGGCTCATCATTCATTGAAGTAGAGTTTTCAGCATGTCAGGGCGCTGTATGTCAGGCTTGCGCATGGGCCGGACAGGTGTAGTTTCCTGGTTTGTCCAAGATGGGTCTCAGTCCCAACACAAGGTCTAAACCCTTTAGGGTTTGGGGTTTAGGGTTTAGGGTGACCTCAGCCCTCAACCCTGAACCCTGGCAAACGCATGGGAGGCTTCTGCGATGGCTTGGAGTATGGTGGCAACACCAAAGCAGCCCTGATCCGGATTGGCCTGCAGGAGATGCCGAGCTTAGGATTGGGGTTTGGGGTTTGGGGTTTGGGGTTTAGGGTTTAGGGTTTAGGGTTTAGGGTTTAGAGGCTTAGAGTTGAGGGTTTAGGGTGTAGGCCTTCAATACGACGATTATACTCACTACGACGTCTACTACGAATCAAGATAACGATTTTTGATGAGAAATAGAATCAGAATCGCAATAAGAATCGTCATAGCAACAGTCATAGCAACATACATGGCGAGAGTTGTTGTTCTAGTTCTAGTCCTGGCTAGTCCTGGCCATAGTACTCGTACTCACAATGGAAATGGTAATGATAATCGTGACAAAAAAGGACGAATGTGACAATGATAGAACTCATAGTAAGCATCTTAACATGTAAAATCGTATCCATGAGGGCGCCCAGCATCTTGCACATGCTGCTGCGATTGCAGATGCTGTGGTCGGCAGGAAATGAAGACCTTCATCCGCTACTTCTACCCCGAGGCAACCCCTTTTCTCAGGGTTTAGGGTTTAGGGTTTAGGGTTTAGGGTTTAGGGTTTTTGGTTTCGGGTTCAGGGCCCCGTCTTTCTTTGGCAAGCGCTCAACTCAAATTCTGGGTGCTCGGCCTGTACCCCGGCGACATGGACTAAAGCCAAAACATGCCTAAACCAAGCCCTAAACCCTAAACCCTAAACCCTAAACCCTAAACCCTAATCCCTAAGACCCAAGCCCTAAACCCTAAACCCTAAACCCAAAACCCCAAACCCCAAACCCTAAACCCTAAACCCTAAATCCGGAGCCCTGGACAGGTTAAGGACTCCACCTTCTTGGAGAGCTGTGGCGTCGCAGCCGCCTGGACTGGAAGCCCCAGGGTTTAAGGGTTTTGGGGTTTAGGGTTTAGGGTTTGGGGTTTAGGGTTTAGGGTTTGGGAACCCACGGTCTGGTGTATTGCAGGTTGCCATTCTGCAAGCATTCCTCTATTTCGTAGTAGAGTAGGTAACCTTTAACCTTTTTGGGTTAATATATTCCCCTTATAATCCCAAAGGTTAACCTTTAAAATCCCTAGGTACTGGACCACTACGGCTATTTGGTTCTGTCACTTTCAGTACAACTACTGTTGTCACTACTGCTAGTATTGGCCATGTTGTTCTTGTTGTCGTTGCTGGCCTGTCTTGTCGGGCAGAGGTCCTGCAACCGCTGACTATGACGATCTTTCTTTGATGCATTTTTGATGAATGGTGCGCTGCAGGCACACTGATTGACACGCTAGCTGAGGACTTGATCACCACCTGCTTTGGTGGCAGGCTCTGACGGGAATTGACATGATGAAGCACATACTTGGAGCTTTGCGGGCAGCCATCGTAGGGTAAGGCTTCGTGAGCGCAGGCGAGCGAGCTCCAGTTGGGGAATCCAGCTTCAGGAACAAGGGTTTAAAGGCTTAGGGTTCAGGTCTGCAGCTGGGTTTGGTGGACATGTGTGTGTTGCGTGGGGCTGCTTTCTGCACAGAAGTCCCTAAACCCTAAACCCTAAACCCTAAACCCTAAACCCTAACCCCTAAACCCTAAACCCTAAACCCTAAACCCTAAACCCTAAACCCTAAACCCTAAACCCTAAACCCTAAAATTGGAAAAGCACCAGGAATCGAAAATGCGCCGAAGCCTTTGTGAAGGCGAAGGGCACCAAGAGCCTCTTGGCATCGTGCAGCCATGCGCTTTGGTAGCTTCTCCGTTAACCCCGTCAGCCCCCAAAAGGACTCGGTCCACTGTACAAGAGTGTGAAAGGAATATCTCTAGGCTATATGTGTACACACATATATATATGTGTGTTTTGTATACAGCAATGTACTATATAGTGTTATCCTTTTGCATGATATGATGCCTTTTTGTCTTCCACGATCTTATATCTTGTATATACAAATGTAGAATTACTCCGTATCCTTTCTGCTGTAGTCCAAAGCCACCATCTGTTAGCCTACATCCTTGACCTCGCCAGTTCTGTGCAGGGAATTCGGGAAGTATGTCCCGTGCATGATCTCTTATAGAATTGTGTGGGACACAAGGAAGCCTAAGCCCCAAAACTCAGGGCCTAGGCCGCCCCCCTACAGAGGGGGGGGGCGGCGCTTAAGCCCTTCGACCTCTATGGCGAAAGTCGACCCAGGTCGCTTGCCCGCCTCCTGCAGCCCGGGGGCAGGGAAGGGCCAGTAGGCAGGCGGCTTTTTTGAGCACCCACCCTGCCTGGACACGCTGCGGTGAGGGGTCTGGGTCCTCCTGGCCTGGGGGCCTTGGGTACCCCCCCCTGAAACGGCCAGCGACCTCCAGACCGAAGACCTTATTAAGGGGACCAGTACTGGTCCCCATGAAAACCTGCCCTTCCTGGACCTCTTGCTCCCCTTACTTCGCCTTAGACATTCAGGAGGATACCGAATTTTCACCGCAGCGTGTCCAGGGACCAGGGGGCCTCAGGCTGGTCCAGGCAGGGTGGGTGCTCAAAAAGTGTTTTTTGTGCCTGGCATCGGTGGCGGAAAGGTGTTTTTTGAAAGTAAGCGATTGTCATGAGTTTAGGCTTAAACCCTAAAAGGAAAGGTTTGGGTGGTTTTGCCGCCTCGGACGGCGTGGGGTGGGAGACAAGTATTCGATGGCCCTCTACAATCGGGCCAGAGCTGCTCTTCGCCCCTGCCGAAGCATTCGAGCCGCTGCTGCATCCTAACCTTGACAGCATCTACGCCCTATTACTTTTTGGGCACATCTGCAATCAGCCTCACGAGCGTCCTGCTAAGTCGACAAGTACCAGTCATCACTGGTCAAATCATGCAAAGGGAAAGGGAAAAAGTTGCTGTTGGGACATCACGTCGCAGGCCAGGAGATATGCCATCCCATCTACGCCCTACTACAGCAAACCCTAAACCCTAAACCCTAAGCCCTAAACCCTAAACCCTAAACCCTAAACCCTAAACCCTAAACCCTAAACCCTAAATTCCCGAGTTCTACGAGCTGGTCCTCACCCAAGGCTGGGACATGATTGAGAAGGAGCTTCTAGGCGGGCAGAAGCTTCAGGGCACTCTGACCGCCCAGGAGACGGGGGGGGGGGGGGGTTTAGGGTTTAGGGTTTAGGGTTTAGGGTTTCGGGTTTAGGGTTTAGGGTTTAGGATTTAGGGTTTTGGGTTTTGGGTTTAGGGGGTTCGGGAAGTTTGGAGGTTGAGGGGCTGAGGGGTTTTGGGGGTTGAGGGGCTGCGAGGTTTGGGGGGTTGAGGGGGTTGCGGGTTGTGTGCAGGCACCCTGAGGTTGATATGTGATGGGGGATGGGAGGCAAGGAGGGAGCGCTTAGGGTTTAGGGTTTAGGGTTTAGGGTTTAGGGTTTAGGGTTTAGGGTTTAGGGTTTAGGGTTTAGGGTTTAGGGTTTAGGGTTGAGGGTTGAGGGTTGAGGGTTTAGGGTTTGTGCTGCTAGGAGATCTGGCCAGTCATGCAGAAGCACAACTTGTGCGACAAGTTGCCGATGCTCACCACTATCTACCAGTGCCCCGGCTGTGGGTTGAGCACTTGTGGAAAGGAGGTCAAACCCTAAACCCTAAATCCTAAACCCTAAACTCAGGGCACTGAAAAACCCCTTAGAAGCTTTTGTTCCACCTACAAAGATGGCGGCCCAACACCCAAAGCTTCAGCCCAAAACCCTCAGCAGAACCCCAAACCCCTAAACCCCCAAACCCTCAGCCCCAAGCTCAAAACCCTGAACCCTAAGCCCCAAACTTTTTTTTTGGGGGGGGGGTTTAGGAAGTAAGGAAGGAAGAAAGAAAGGAAGAAAGAAAGAAAGGAAGGAAGGAAGAAAGGAAGGAAGATCCTAAACCCTAAACCCTAAACCCTAAACCCTAAACCCTAAACCCTAAACCCTAAACCCTAAACCCTAAACCCTAAACCCTAAACCCTAAACCCTAAACCCTAAACCCTAAACCCGAAACCCTAAACCCTAAACCCTAAACCCTAAACCCTAAACCCTGAACCCTGAACCCCAAAACCCCAAAACCCCAAAACCCTAAATGGAATGGAGAACCGTTTGCCCCCCCCCCCCCCCCCTGCCCCCCCCCCCCCCCCTCCCTCCCCTACCCACAAAACCCCCCCCCCCCCCCCTCCCCCGAAAAATAAAATGGCCAAAAAAAATGTCCACCCACCCTAAACCCTAAACCCTAAACCCCCAAAGCCCCCCAAAACCCCCCCTCCTCTCAGGATTGCCTTCGAGGATCGAGCGCCCTGGGCTATCGTCAAGCTGCCCTCGGGAATGCCCACGTCCGCCTTTCACGAGGACGCTGTTTTTCCTGCGGGGTTTGGAAGGTTTAGGGATTGAGCGCTGAGCCCTAAACCCTAAACCCTAAACCCTCAACCCTCAACCCTCAACCCTCAACCCTCAACCCTCAACCCTCAACCCTCAACCCTCAACCCTCAACCCTAAACCCTAAACCCTAAACCCTAAACCCTAGACCCTAAACCCTAAACCCCAAGCCCTAAACCCTAAACCCCAAGCCCTAAACCCTAAGCCTTAAACAAGGGTTTGGGTCCAGAGAACCCCAGGGCCCCTTGAGGCAGAGTGGCATCACATCATCATCGAGATCCTTACCATGTCGTAAGCCCCAGGATCGTCAACCCTAAGCCCTAAGCCCTAAGCCCTAAGCCCTAAGCCCTAAGCCCTAAGCGCTAGACCGTAAACCCTAAACCCTAAACCCTAAACCCTAAACCCTAAACCCTAAACCCTAAACCCTAAACCCTAAACCCTAAACCCTAAACCCTAAACCCTAAACCCTAAACCCTAAACCCTAAACCCTAAACCTAACCCTAAACCCTAAACCCTAAACCCTAAACCCTAAACCCTAAACCCTAAACCCTAAACCCTAAACCCTAAACCCTAAACCCTAAACCCTAAACCCTAACCCTAAACCCTAAACCCTAAACCCTAAACCCTAAACCCTAAACCCTAAACCCTAAACCCTAAACCCTAAACCCTAAACCCTAAACCCTAAACCCTAAACCCTAAACCCTAAACCCTAAACCCTAAACCCTAAACCCTAAACCCTAAACCCTAAACCCTAAACCCTAAACCCGAAACCCGAAACCCTCACCCTAAACCCTAAACCCTAAACCCTAAACCCTAAACCCTAAACCCTAAACCCTAAACCCTAAACCCTAAACCCTAAACCCTAAACCCTAAGAGCAGATTCTGCATGGGGGCATTGCGTTCTCTTGGAGTTCAAGCTCCAGGGGCGCATGGGCGTCTGTGGCTCGGGGGGCTTTCCACAGGATCCTCTTTTGTTAGGCTGTAGGGTTTAGGGTTTAGGGTTTAAGGTTTAGGGTTTAGGGTTTAGGGTTTAAGGGACCCCAAGCCCTAAACCCTGCAGTTCACGGAGCCCCCGTAAGCTTCGGAGCTTCCGAAAACCTCCCTAAGCCCATATTCTTTTACGTCATGGTGCACATGGCCTTAGACCCTAAACCCTTGACCCCTTAGACCCATAAACCCAGAAGCCCACGGCCGATTGTTGGAGGACGATGGCTTCTTCGAAAAGAAATGAAGCAGCGCTTTGGCATCAAGTGGGTTTAGGGTTTCAGGACTACGGGGTTACTTCGCCATCAGCAGCCCTTTACAATTACACTACAATACCCCGCCCCCCCCCCCCCCCCCCCCCCCCCGCCCCCCAAAAAAGACAAAGAAAAAGACAAAGAAAAAACATCAATTATTAAGGCCCCTAGAGTATCTCCTCTCGGCCTGAGGTCGAAAGCATCCCTGCACTCGTGAAGCACAACTCTTGGAAGGTCTGCGTGATCACAAGGCCTCTCCGAAAGGTGTCCAGTGCAAAGCACAGCACACAGTGCAAGCACCTGACATACCTGCACCGCTGTGGCCCCCACTTTCTCATGGGGGTGGTGTTGCATTTTGGGGGAACCCTTGGGCTCCGGGTTTTACATCTAAGCTAGCGACGCCCGAGCGTCCTTTTTCCTGGGTTCTTGTTTCGGGTCTTTAACTTCAGTGGCCATGACATCGCAGAGAAAGTCGTATCCTGATGGTGGGCATGATTTTGAGACAGAGTTGTTCTGCTGTTCCGCCTAGAAGAGCCCCTAACCCCTTTCACACGGGCCAGTTTCCCACACCACCTAGACCCTAAACCCTAAACCCTAAACCCTAAACCCTAAACCCTAAACCCTAAACCCTAAACCCTAAACCCTAAACCCTAAACCCTAAACCCTAAACCCTAAACCCTAAACCCTAAAACCCTAAAACCCTAAAACCCTAACCCTAAACCCCCTAAACCCTAAACCCTAAACCCTAAACCCTAAACCCTAAACCCTAAACCCTAAACCCTAAACCCTAAACCCTAAACCCTAAACCCTAAACCCTAAACCCTAAACCCTAAACCCTAAACCCTAAACCCTAAACCCTAAACCCTAAACCCTAAACCCTAAACCCTAAACCCTCCCGCAAGGTATCATCTTCTCTTGATGCCGAGATGCCTGCGTGCAGCTCAGATTTTGTCTGAGAAGGCTTTCAGGTGGGCAGAAAGGGATTAAGGAGGGACTCCGAGTCCCTAAGTAGCCCCCACATTACCCCTAAACCCTAAATATCCCTAAACCCTAAACCCTAAACCCTAAACCCTAAACCCTAAACCCTAAACCCTATACCCTAAACCCTAAACCCTAAACCCCTAAACCCTAAACCCTAAACCCTAAACCCTAAGGTCCCTCATAAGGGTCCCTCCTTTAGTCCCTTGAAGGTGGTTGCTTACGGGCCTGGAATATCTTCGTGGAATCCTTGTACTGTGCTCTGGATTCAGCTCGTTCCGGGTTTCAGACGCTTGGCTGGGGCTGTCGGGTTTAGGGTTCAGAGTTTAGTGTTTAGGGGAGTAGGCTGGGCTTAATCTTTTTGCCAAATTCTTGCGACGTAACTGGGCAGGATTGGTTCTTGGGCTCCCTTGTGTGTACCACTTGCAGGTTGGCATGTCCACTCGATGTTTCGGAGATCCTCACGCACGAAAAGCATTCTCAGAAGAGAAGAAGAAGAGGAAGAAGAAGAAGAAGAAGAAGAAGAAGCAGAAGCAGAAGCAGAAGCAGAAGCAGAAGAAGATGACCCCAGCATTCCTTAAGCAAAAGAGCCAAGCAGGACAAGGTTTTCTGTCTGCCCAAGTGTGGAGCTGCCGTCCGGCCTGTGCAAGCTGGCAAACGAAGGGCAAACCCCTTCAAGCTACCCAAACTTTGTGGGCGCGAAGTGTGAGAAATCTGAAAAGCAAGAGCTCGCACAGAAGACCAGCTCTTTCCCAATAGGAGCATTCTGCGGTCATATGACAGACAGCGTACAGAGCTCCATCCTGCCAGCAACAGCATTAAAGCGCACTTGCAAGCTCAATCGGTCTTGCTGCACGCAGAGCACACATAGACCGAGAGAGGCCCCCGTGCTCGATGATCCATCCCACTTTGCTGCACGTGCGTGCATGCCGCGTGTCATCTTGCTCACGAAGAGGGTCGAAGAGAAGTGTACAGGTCTGCCTAGAGCCACATTGCTGTGGTTGAGAGACAGTCGCCTGTCCGGGAATGTGAGTTTTGAGCCGCCTTTTGAAGAGCTTGAAGACTTTAGCTAGGTTACATGGTCAATCAATCGTTTTAGTTTCCGTTCCTTAACAAGAACCCAGCCATTCCTCAAAGGGGGCGTGCTTCCACCCTAGATCTCAGAGAGCAGCGGCAACTAGAGTTACCATCTGCAAGCCATCCAGGGCTTGGGGGGGGTTTGGGGTTTAGGGTTTAGGGTTTAGGGGCATGAACCGACATCTCCAGGGTTTGCTCGCAGTCGCCGCCACAGGTGATCTTGTACATGGTCCCTGAGGCCACGGAGTGGCTGTCAGATGAGTCGCATGTTTTTTCGTCCACTCCCTATGGAGCTGGAGCATGAGACTTGGGTAGATTGCTGTCGTACCTTTTGGAAGCCACCTCTCTTGCGCTTGAAGTTACAGCGTTCGGCTGGTGCCGCAGTCGTCAGCAAACTTCCGAAGGATCTTGGCACATCTGCAGTGTGACTTGTGTTGCTTTTGAACCCTGCAGTGCATGCCTCAAAGAGTGATGATCCAAGTCATCTGCTTCTCTTGACAAGCGCACTTGCGCAGATGCAGGGCATGTCAATGGCTTGCCTGGTCCCTCTCGGGAAAGAATCCTTATCTCTGACATGCAACTTCTCCCCGGCCGTTGCAGAAGAGAAAATGGACATGCTCTCACGTGCTCGAACTCGCCTCCGGCGTGCTCCGGAGTGTGCAAGCACAGAAGCGACCGCACGGATGGGCGTTAGAACGATGCATGCGCAGGCAGCTGGTTGCTTAGCTGATGTCGAAGTGATGTACATGTTGAATGGATAGGACAAGAAGCCAGCGGTAGGTGGCATGAATCTTAGAGTCTATTTGACAATTACAGCACACTAGTCTACTTTTATATTCTGACGGAGAAAGTACATTCTGGTTGACTGCACCTTGCCCAAGACAGGCCAACAACAGATCGCCCGCAAATGCAGCAAGATCCAGCCATGTGCTCGCACGTGTGAAGCAAGCCTGTCAGTCGCTGATACCTATACATTTGCTGCTTGGTACCAGCAATGACGAGGCATGCTGAGGACATTTAAAGCCTAAACCCTAAACCCCAAACCCTACACCCTAAACCCTAAACCCTAAACCCTAGATCCTAGATCTTAAATCTTTAGCCCGCTCGAGGCTACCCCCAGGCCTCTGCAAAGGCATCCCCGCCCTGTTTTTTTGGCTAGGCAGGATGGCTGTTTCTTTAAGACTGCGGCAGAACCCAAAAAACCTTAAACCCTAAACCCTAAACCCGATACCCTATACCCTATGCCCTAAACCCTAAACCCTAAACCCTAAACCCTCAACCCTAAACCCTAAACCCTAAACCCTAAACCCTAAACCGCGTTCGCGCTTCAGGATCGTTGTGGGGGATCTCGACGCAGTGTTTAGGAACGAGGTGGGTGCTGTCTGGGAGCACCTGTGGCTTTCTTGACGGTTGAACGCAGATTCCGTGGCGCAGAAGCCTGCAACCTCTTCCTTGTCCCTTTCCACGAAGCCCCCTTGCAAGGGAAGCTGCTCTAAACGGGTGAATTTGGTGCATCCAGGCGCGCCCGCGACCACAGACTAGGCATACAGGATTTCGGACACATTGAGTGAAAGATGCCCTGAAAAGGCATGTACGGGTGGGCGGGGGGGGGAGCTAAGCTGCGCCAGTTGGCCCAGGGATTTTGAACACACTGGCGGTGTCACAATCCCCTTCCCTCATATTAAAACCCCTCCCCCCCTACCCCCCAGTATTAGCAACCCCCCATATACTCCAATATAACTATAATGGGAGGAGTATTTAGTATGAGGTGGGAAGAAGGAAGGGTTTGATTTTTCCGAGACTCCATATACTCCTTAATTAAGGAATATTCCTTAAGCCACATAAGGACCCCTATTGTGGTTTAAGGAATATCCCTTAAATAAGGGTTACTGGAGTCCCTGGTAGGGAGAAAGGGGCGTACCCTTGCCAGGGCCGCCCGCGGTGCCACCACGAGAAGGGCAGGCCAGATGAAGAAGCTCCAGCTGCCATGTCTTCAGAACCCTGAACCCTAAACCCTGAACCCTGAACCCTGAACCCTGAACCCTGAACCCTAAACCCTAAACCCTAAACCCTAAACCCTAAACCCTAAACCCTAAACCCTACACGCGGACGGTTTCTGCCAATGCCTTGCCTGTTGGAGGTGCGGGCGCCGGCCCATGTCCAGGCTCGCAGAGTTCGGGGTTCGGTTCCGTTACCGGTACGTTGGAGGTTCGTGGGTTTAGGGTTTAGGGTTTAGGGTTTAGGGTTTAGGGTTTAGGGTTTAGGGTTTAGGGTTTAGGGTTTAGGGTTTAGGGTTTAGGGTTTAGGGTTTAGGGCTTAGGGTTTAGGGCTACTTGGAGGTTCATTGGGGTACTTCTAAGTAAGGTTTTAAGTAGGGTAACTATGGTTATAACCCCATGAACCTTCAAGTACCGCGACCACAGTTTCATACCCGAAGACTCCCAGGGACTATTAAATCCTGAAATCGGCTTAGGGGTTTAGGGGTTTGGGTTTCGGATTTTGAATCACTACTTACTATGTTTAAGAAATTCCCTAAATAAGAGCCCCTGGGTAGCTTGTGCCCGGCAGTTTAAGCAACAGTTGCGACGAGTGACCTAAGCCCGAAACCCTAACCCCTAAACGCTCATATGATTAATGGATAGGGAAGAGGATATGGGAGTTGTCCGCGTTCTCGTCACGTAGCACCGAAAGGACCCCAACAGAAGGCGTTACGATGTTGAAAGGGGGTTTAGGTTTTTGGGTTTCGGGGTTTAGGGTTTAGGGGTACAGGGGGTTTAGGGTTTGGGGTTTCAGGTTTAGGGTTTACGGGTGCTTGACTGGAGGAGCTTGCTCGTCTAGCAGATTGCCTAAGTCGACTTGTGTACAAGTTAACACCACCATTGCCATCTTCCACTGTTTTGGGTTCACTTCTGCCGATAGGAGGAGCCCTAGACCCTCAAACCTCGGCCCTCAACCCTCAACCGGCAACCCGAAACCCTAAACCCTACACACCCTGAAAGCCCCAGCTGAAGCCTTCGAAGCTCCCAGCCCTAAACCCTAAACCCTAAACCCTAAACCCTAAACCCTAAACCCTAAACCCTAAACCCTAAACCCTAAACCCTAAACCCTAAACCCTAAACCCTGAACCCTCAACCCTCAACCCTCAACCCTCAACCCTAAACCCTAAACCCTCAACTCTAAACCCTAAACCCTAAACCCCAAACCCTAAACCGAAAACCCCTCATGCCCCTGGGCCCCCCTCGAAACCTGATGGCACCCCCATGCGGCCCCCCGGTCGAGGACCCGAAAAGCCAGCCTACATCAGAGGCATGGTAGTGTGGACCTCAACTTTTGTTGCTCAGGGGTTGAGGTCTAAGGGGAGTCATCTGGGCCCTGAAAATAACCCCTGACCTTCTTGGGGTATATAAGGGCCCCCCCCCCCCCCCTGTAAGGTGCCAGACTATGGGACCAGGCAACTACCCTGAGATCAGGGTGTGGGGGTGTGAGGATCGATGTTTGTGTTCGACGTCGTTTGTTTGTGTTTTTTCTCTTCAATGCGACCCGCGAGTCTGAGCATTTTTGCGGGCTGGCATGGGCGTCTTAAGGTAGCTCCTTGGGTTCTTTAATTTTCTTGTGGGGTTTCATGGGCTTACTCAGGTAACGCAGGGGTTGCTGCCTTTTCTTGAAGCTTGCCACAGTGACAAGCCGGAAGAGGAGGCCGTGACGCAAGGTTTTAACCAGTCTCTAGCCCCAGTCATAGTTGCCCACGAACCCATGAACCCTAAACCCTGAATCCTAAACCCTAAACTCTAAATCCGAAATAAACCCCTGCCCTGCTTTCGGCAGAACTTCCGCGAAAGCCAAGCAGACATGGAACTATGGGTAAAGCCGTGCGACACAAGCGCGAGCCGTGTTTCCCTTTAACCCCAGCTTCAAGCCCCCCTAAACCCTAAACCCTAAACCCCAAACCCTAAACCCTAAACCCTAAACCCCAAAAAAACACTACACCCTAAACCCTAAACCCTAAACCCTAAACCCCAAACCCCAAACCCCAAACCCCAAACCCCAAACCCCAGCCTCGCTCCGAGGGGACGGAGGACGGTGGAAGTGGAGACCAGTGGTTGAGGGAAGAGGTTGACTTGGCAGCCCAGTGGTACCCTTTTCTCTTTTTTGGTTCAAGGTTCCCTTACCCTAAACCCTAAACCCTAAACCCTAAACCCTAAACCCTAAACCCTAAACCCCAAACCCCAAACCCTGAACCCAACAAAAACCCAAAAAAGGGTACCCTCAAAATAGTCTTGTTACCGGGCTACCAGGTTGAGGAAGTGGAAGATGGAGAGTGGACGGCATTGTACAGGCCCGTGATATGTAGGGTTTGGGGTTTAGGGTTCAGGGTTGAGGGGTCCTTGGCTGGGTATGCATTTCCCTTTTTTGGGTTGAAGATGATCCTATTAGGGGTACTGAACAATGGGGGAAACATGTTCTTCCACGACTGCTATGGAATGGGGAACCACATATTTTCCCCATTGGTTTAGTATTCCTTTGGCAGCAGGGTGTAAGGTTTAAGCTGGCAAAGGTGTTCAGGACTGATTGCGCACGTCAACGGGATGTGAGTGTGCCTGCGTCCTTGTCTACGTCACGCGTCAGGCGTCTGAAACAACGGAACCCTCTTCATAGGGTTTAGGGTTTAGGGTTTAGGGTTTAGGGTTTAGGGTTTAGGGTTTAGGGTTTAGGGTTTAGGGTTTAGGGTTGAACACCAGACGGATGTTGTCACCCTTCCAATGAAGCCCCTGCAAGCATGGTTCTGGCCTCCCGTCGGCCAAAGCCGACTCTCCGAATCAGACCCGTAGCCTTAAACCCTGGCAGGTTAGAAGCAGCCACAGACAAGGCGCCTTTCCTCCACTTCTCTCAAGATGTGGGCATTTCCCAAAATAGGGGGGGTACCTTATTGGGGTCCCCATTACAAGGGAATCCTACTCTTTGGGGTCGATACTAGGGGTCCCTCTATTTTCGTTATCTTCCAGGTTTCTGCAGGCACCCCTCCAAACCCCCCTTCGCTCCCGAGCCAGCTGAGTCCAGAGTGACAGCTTAGGTTTCAGGTTGGGATGCTCCCCCCCATACTCGCAGCCCTTAATCGGGATGATAGTACCCACCAGTTATACTCCCTTATTATTCAGGACTGTTCGTAAGAGGGGGAGCATCCCAAGTTTCAGGTTTCGGCAGGATTGAGTACACTTTTGGGGGACCAAAATGCTTTAGTCATGGGGGGGGCGGGGTCTTGATAGTTTCAGCCATCAACCCTAAACCCCAAACCCTGAACCCTAAACCCTAAACCCTAAATCCTAAATCCTAAACCCTAAACCCTAAACCCTAAACCCTAAACCCCAACCCTAACCCCCAAAGGCCTAATCCCTGCCAGCCCAGGAGAGGCCACCGAAGCCTGCACCGGAGTTTCTGAAGCCAAAGGTTCCGAGCCAAGTGCAGCCTTCCTGGCTCTCACCCCTTCAGTGGCTTTCGCAAGGCGCCAGGGACGTCCCAGGTGAGGAGGCCGAAAGATACGAGAGTGAGGCACAGTCTTCCGAGAGCACCGTGCCACCGCGCGGCCCTTCTTCGCCCCCCCTGCCACGTTTCAAGCTCAGCCGTCCCACGTGGCCGGAGCCCGAAACAGAGAGCTCCAGCCAGGAGTCCGGAGTTGTGCGCTTGAAGTACAGACCCTTCCAAGGCGGCTGCGCGTTTCAGGAGGTACAGGATGCCCAAGACTCCAAAGACTCCGAGACTTCGCAGTGCTCACAGCTACAGCACTGGCAGCAGCAAGCGAACCGGCTGGCTCAGGAGATGCAGCGGCCCACGCCCGAGCTGAAGCCGCTGGCTCGCGGCACATGTGGGGAAGCTGGGGAGTTCCCCAGCTGGCCCAATGGCCTTCATGGGCCCCAAGGGCCCATGCAGCACTTCTACCCAGACTACTCGGACTCGGCCACCTCCGCCGACAGCCTGCCTCCGAAGTTCGCGCGCCCGAGGCCTCCCTGGAGTCCAGGTGCCTCGGGGTCCCTGGGCGGCCTCGCAAGCTCGGAGAGCTCCGCCCACAGCGATCCCCAGCGGGTGGAGCAGCTGCAGGGCATGCTGTGCCACCAGCTCTCCGAGCTCGTGCAGGTGCAGCAAGCCTGGCAGCTCGGCGAACCCAGGGCCCCTTTAGGGCCTTTAGGGTTTAGGGTTTAGGGTTTAGGGTTTAGGGTTTAGGGCCCCGAGGCGAAACAACGCAAACCATGCCCAGCAATGAAGCAGGATGCTCGAGGCAAGGCCCATGCACAGAGGCGATGTCTGTAGGCTCCGCTTGTATGGCATAAACCCACAAGCCCCAAACCCGTAAACCCCTAAAAGAAAGCCAAGACCCTAAACCCTAAACCCTAAACCCTAAACCCTAAACCCTAAACCCTAAACCCTAAACCCTAAACCCTAAACCCTAAACCCTAAACCCTAAACCCTAAACCCTAAACCCTAAACCCTAAACCCTAAACCCTAAACCCTAAACCCTAAACCCTAAACCCTAAACCCTAAACCCTAAACCCTAAACCCTAAACCCTAAACCCTAAACCCTAAACCCTAAACCCTAAACCCTAAACCCTAAACCCTAAACCCTAAACCCTAAACCCTAAACCCTAAACCCTAAACCCTAAACCCCTAAGCAGGCCCATGCCCCCAAGCCTCCAACATGCCGGCCCAGGTACAAGTTGCTGTCTTCGGCGTGCAGGCATCCGGGTCTCCCTTATCCCAGGTTTTTGCTACACCCCCTAAGTTCCCCCCCCAAATTCAAGGCTACTTAACAAAGGTTTTCTTACTGGGGAATCGAGGGGGGGTAGTGTAGGTAGTATAGACGGGGGTAATGGGGAAGCCCATGAGGTTTGCTGGCAACCGGATCCCTCTGCAACAAAGCCGAAACCCGGTAGGGTTTGGGGTTGAGGGCGTGCCATACAGAAGCACGCTTTGAGAGCGTACCCCCCACCCCAAGACCGCCCACTTACAAGTGAAGCCTCATTTTTTACAAGGCAACATGTACTTGTGATGCAAGGTGGTCTAGGCGAACTTGATATGAAACTCTTCATTGAAGCCACCTATGAGTTGTGTCACGTGGGTGCTTGGATCACTTGAGACACTTGGGTCGCTTGGCGCTTAGGATACGTGGCATGCTTTCCTCACCACTGGGAACTGCTGCATTGCTTGGGTCATCGGGGCTGGGACACTTCATTCAATCGGTTACTTGGGACACTCGGGTCACCTGGGTCACTTGGGAAACTTGAGTCACTTCCAGCGGTGTGTTACAAGGTTCACTCATGCCACATGGGTTGCTTGGAGCCTAAAGAACGCGCGAGTCGCTTGGGGCATTTGGATCACGTAGGAACACTTGGGTCACTTTTGGGCATGCTGATTCGGCCTGCCTGGAGGGTCCCACACGTCACCCGCCTACCCCAAAAGGCAAGCGAGGGGTGGCGGGGTTTAGGGTTCAGGGCCGAAGCGCATGCGCCCTCTTTGGGGTGGGGGGGAATACTGGCCATCGCTGCCATCGCTTGCAGGCAGCAGCAAGAGCAAGCCGCCACACAGACGAGCCTTGTAGCATTGAGTGTTCAGGGTCGCTCCAATCAGCGCCACTTTCGCTCGGCAACGGATGTGTTTTGGAGCAATGCTTACCCAGGCAGCAAAGCTTCTACCACCGGCCTTATGATCGCGGTGCCCGAACTCAAGCAGGACTCCTGCCTGAGGGCGGTTCCCTACACTTCCCTTGACTAAAAGTAAAGCCTGGCCACCCTCTGCTTCTGGCTTCAATGTCAGGGAATCTTTGGCCCTGAGTTTAGGGTTTAGGGGTCAATGTGCGGTCGAAACGCAAAGATTTATTGAAAGGCTCGGCCTTTCGCGTGCAGAAGCGGGGCCTTTTCATAAGAGTGTTGTGATGCCTGAACCCCAAACGCCTAATTCACCCCCACACCCCCAAACCCCCAAGCCCACAAACAACCAAACCCCAACCACAAACCCCCAAACCCCAAACCCCCACACCCCCACACCCCCAAACCCCCAAACGCCCACACCCCCAAACCCCCAAACCCCCAAACCCCCAAACCCCCAAACCCCCAAACCCCCAAACCCCCAAACCCCCAAACAACCCCCAAACCCCCACACCCCCAAACCCCCAAACCCTGAAACCGCCAAACCCCGAACCTGCAACCTGAAACCCTAAACCCTAAACCCCAAAGCCTAAAGCCTAAAGCCTAAACCCTAAACCCTAAACCCTAAACCCCCAAATCCGGAAACCGCCAAACCCTGAACCTGAAACACGAACCAGGCCCATGCGCCCAGAGCCACTCCCTGGCTGCCGGGCCCCCTCTCCGCACTCAGGGTTTAGGGTTTAGGGTTTAGGGTTCAGGGTTTAGGGTTTAGGCAACTCGTAAGATTCGGACTTCACAGCACTGTTGAGCGCCCAGGTATGAGGCGCCACTCGCACCACTGTTGAGGCGTCCGGACCTGAACTTCTCTCAGCCGCTTGGAGGTTTGTTTAGGGTTTAGGGTTTAGGGTTTAGGGTTCAGGGTTTAGGGTTTAGGGTTTAGGGTTTAGGGTTTAGGGTTTAGGGTTTAGGGTTTAGGGTTTAGGGTTGGGGGCTCAGCATTTCAAGAGAAAGCATTCACTCGCCCACTACAACACTCGGGCCTAAACCCTAAACCCTAAACCCTGAACCCTGAACCCCAAACTAAAAGCCCAAAGCCCCAGGCCCAGAAACCCTGACCCTAAAGCCTCAGGCGCAGTCGCCCCCAAACCCGAGAGCCTCAGGCGCAGCAACCCTAAAGCCAAAGGCCCAGCAGCCCCTCCCTAACGCCCATCAAAATCTTGCACGATGCCCACAACTGAGTTCAGGGTATGAAGAATGAATATTTTCCAAAATAAGTAACCCTTTTTTTGTAAAAAAAGCACTTGCTGACAAATTTTGCTTAGACAAAATGTTCGTGTGAAGGAGAGGTTTAGGGTATGCCTTGGGATGGGGCAGCTCAAGCTTGATGTCCCTACTCAGAAGTGGCCATGAACCCTTGAGCAGTCATGTGTCGGCTAAAGGTGCGGTTCATACCATCCTCAAGCCCTAAACCCTAAACCCTAAACCCTAAACCCTAAACCCTAAACCCTAAACCCTAAACCCTAAACCCTAAACCCTGAACCTTGAGGATGGTGCCGACGCTGAACCCTTGGACCCGCGACTCTGGGAAGTTGGCCCCTGGTCCGCCAGAGGGCCTCAGCGCTAAACCCTAAACCAACCCTAAACCCTAAAGCCTAAACCCTCAACCCTAAACCCTAAGTTTAGAGTTTCGGGATTAGGGTTTAGGGCCTTTTCGTACAGCACACGCGTGCGAATGCAAAGTGCCCTTCCTGCGGAATGTATGCTTGCCTTGGCTGACTAGCATCCACAGAGCTCTCTATCTGGGCTGGAGACAGGGGGCTGTTAGCCAGACATAGGGGTTTCCGAACATTAGGGTTGTTTGTGTTTCGGGATCTCCTTAAGGGGATTCTGTTGTATTTGGGGTCCCAATACGGATAATCCCACTTTGGCAAGTGCGCAACTCTGCGTGAAACAAGGTTCTAGTCGTAGGATGTGATACTCCGCGAGTTGCGTTGACTGCGCAGTTGGCGGCGCTGGGGCACATGGGTGCTGTCTACATCACCGACGATGGCAACGGCTGTGCCCTAGATCGGACTTCGCACTCCCTAGTTTGAGTTTAGGGTTTAGGGTTTAGGGTTTAGGGTTTGGGGTTTGGGGTTTGGGGTTTGGGGTTTAGGGTTTAGGGTTTAGGGTTTGGGGTTTGGGGTTTGGGGTTTGGGGTTTGGGATTTGGGAATTGGGGTTTAGGGTTTGTTGGGTAGACCGGGGCACGCTACGCCCGTACGCCTGTCGCGTTGCATTCACCAGCCATCCCTGCCCTTCAACCCTAAACCCTAAACCCTAAACCCTAAACCCTAAACCCTAAACCCTAAACCCTAAACCCTAAACCCTAAACCCTAAACCCTAAACCCTAAAGCATCCTACACAAGCCAAAACAATCATCCTGAAAAAGCTGTGCCCCCGAGACTTGAAAGTCACCCCCGGCACAGTATGTTTTTACCCTCAACCCTCAACCCTAAAACCTCAACCCTAAACCCTAAGCCTAAACCCTAAACCCTAGACCCTAAGCCCTAAACCCTAAGCCCCTAAACCCTAAGCCCTAAACCCAGACCTCAACCCTAAGCCCTAAACCCTACACCCTAAACCCTAAACCCAGACCCTAGACCCTAAGTCCTAAACCCTAAGCCCTAAAACCCTAAACCCTAAACCCTAAACCCTAAACCCTAAACCCTAAACCCTAAACCCTAAACCCTAAACCCTAAACCCTAAACCCTAAACCCTAAACCCTAAACTCTAAACCCTAAACCCTAAAACCTAAACTTCCCAGGGCTGCCGCACCAAAGCTTCGAGCGTTGGAGGGACCTCTGGCACGAAGCTCTTCTCCATCCTTCAGCTTTCAGGAGGCCGGTTTAGGGTTTAGGGTTTAGGGCTTAGGGCTTTGGGTTTAGGGTTTAGGGTTTAGGGTTTAGGGTTTAGGGTTTAGGGTTTGCGGCTTTAGGTTTAAGGGTTTTAGGCCCCAGGGTTCGGGTTGGAGGTTCAGGCTCAGGACCGTCGAGGCCTGAGACCTGAGGGTGGGCATCTTGCAGTGTTGTGCGGGACCCAAAGCCCACTAAAATCCCCTAAGTTCCTGAAGCCCTAAACCCTGATCCCTCAAGCCCCTAAAACTCCTAAAGCCCGCAAAACAGCCTTAAAAGTCCTAAAGAACCTAAAGCCGCAAACCCTAAACCCTAAACCCTAAACCCTAAACCCTAAACCCTAAACCCTAAACCCTAAACCCTAAACCCTAAACCCTAAACCCTAAACCCTAAACCCTAAACCCTAAACCCTAAACCCTTAAACCTAAACCCTAAACCCTAAACCCTAAACCCTAAACCCTAAACCCTAAACCCTAAACCCTAAACCCTAAACCCTAAACCCTAAACCCTAAACCCTAAACCCTAAACCCTAAACCCTAGACCCTAAACCCTAAACCCTAAGCCCCTCAACCCTAAGCCCTAAACCCAGACCTCAACCCTAAGCCCTAAACCCTACACCCTAAACCCTAAACCCAGACCCTAGACCCTAAGTCCTAAACCCTAAGCCCTAAAACCCTAAACCCTAAACCCTAAACCCTAAACCTCTCTATCATAATGAATTTAAACCCTAATTCAAAAGTGGGCAACGGTGATTTTCGGCCTCAAAAGTGGGCAATGGTGACCTTCCTGGCCTCAAAAGTGGGCAATGGTGACTTTCCTGGCCTCAAAAGTGGGCAATGGTGACTTTCCTGGCCTCAAAAGTGGGCAACGGTGACTTTCCTGGCCTCAAAAGTGGGCAATGGTGACTTTCCTGGCCCCAACAGTGGGCAATGGTGACTTTCCTGGCCTCAAAAGTGGGCAACGCTGACTTTCCTGGCCTCAAAAGGGCAACGGTGAATTTCGGCTTCAAAAGTAGGCAATGGTGAATTTCCTTTTCCCCGAGTTTTTTTCAAAGTTTTTCAAGGTTTTTCAGAGTTTTTCAGTGTTTTTCAAGGTTTTTCAATGTTTTTCAATGTTTTTCAGGATGTTTCAGGGTTTTTAACCCTCAATTCTATTAAAAATGCGATTTTCTAGTACTGATATCGACGGTTCTGGGTGGCCTCTCGTTTTCTGGATTTTTGACCAAAACCGAGCCTTCACCGATAAAGGCTTCTAAACCGTAGGGTTTAGGGCCCTAAGAGCATAAAGGGCCTTAGATTAGATTTCGGGTTTTGGGTCCGTTACAAACTACCTATTGGGAATGTATTGAGTGAACTTTGTATTTTCTCAATGTTATGGGTTTCTTGGGTGGGTGGGTGGGTGGGTTTTTTTCCATCGCTTGACAAGCTGCTTGACTAGTGAATGCTCGGACTTGAGATGCTGAACCCTAAACCCTAACCCTAAACCCGAAACCCTAAACCCTAAACCCTAAACCCTCAACTGTTGCTTGGGAGGAGGCTCCAGGGTAGCGCCTGGCAGCTTCGCTTCTCTCAGGGTGAGGATCTTCTCCGAACGCTTCTTGGTTTAGGGTTTAGGGTTTAGGGTTTAGGGTTTACCCTTTTCTTTTCTTGGGTTATGGGTTCCCTGAGAAAGCAACCGAACCAAAAAAGGGTGCCCTCATACCCTAAACTCTAAACCCTAAGCCCTAAGCCCTAAACCCTAAACCCGAAACCGCGACATGGTTACTGGGGGCCACCAAGGCTTCAGGGCCACGAGAAGTTGCACACGCCAGATGTTCGCTACTCGCCTGTGTTTAGGGTCTTTGGGGGGTTTGTGGCCACGTGTCGTGGCGCCCTAAACCCTAAACCCTAAACCCTAAACCCTAAACCCTAAACCCTAAACCCTAAACCCTAAACCCTAAAACCCTAAACCCTAAACCCTAAACCCTAAACCCTAAACCCTAAACCCAAAACCCTAATACCATATAAACCTAAATGTTAAACACCAATGGGAGAATTTGATCATTTTTTTTTTCGCCCCCCCCGTCGTTCAGCACCAATTGGAGAAGTTGATCCATTTCGACCCCTCCGACCCCTTTGACCCCCCAATTGTTCAGCACCAATTGGAAAATTTGATCCATTTCGACCCCTCCGACCCCCTTGACACCCCCATTGTTCAGTACCAATTGAATTGGAGAATTTGATCCATTTCGACCACTCTCACCCCTTTGGACCCCTTTGACCCGCCCATTCTTCAGCGCCAATTGGAGAATTTGATCCATTTCGACCCCGCCGACCCCTTTGTTTCAAGGCCTCACAGCCTGGTGTTTAGGGTTTCAGGGCCTCAAGGCCTGGTGTTTAGGGTTTCAAGGCCTCACGGCCTGGTTTTTAGGGTTTCAGGGCCTCAAGGCCTGGTGTTGGCTTCAAGGCCTCACGGCCTGGCGTTTAGGGTTTCAGGGCCTCAAGGCTTGGCGTTTAGGGTTTCCGGGCCTCAAGGCCTGGTGTTTAGGGTTTCAAGGCCTTGCGGGCTGGTGTTTGGGGTTTCAGGGCCTCCAGCAGGGTCTCACGGCCTGGTGTTTAGCCTCTCCCACAGCCTCAGGGCTTAGGGTTTCAGAGGTTTGAAGGCATCAAGACTTGGGGTTTAGGTTTCAGGGCGTAAAAAGGTTAATTAATGAAGACCCTTTTATTTTCTTATCTCACCCTCCCTGGTTCAGCACGAAGAAGAAATTAATAAACTTTGTATTTTCATAATGCTATGGGATTCTTTGGGCGGGTAGGTTTTGTTCCGTTGCCTACACACACACTGCTGGCCTAGTAGATGCTCGAACTTGAGATGCTGAATCCTAAACCCTAAACCCTAAACCCTGAACCCTAAATCCTAAACCCTAAACCTTAAACCCTAAACTCTAAACCCTATACCCTAAAACCTAAACCCGCTCAGAAGCCTATGACTGCCCTGAGTATTGCAGTTCTTGCTTTTCAAACACCAACAGCTGCTACCAGTACTGCTAATAAGTATTGATGACGTGGTTTTTATGTTTAAGGCCTGCTATGATTCTTACTATGACAATCATGGCTATCATTGTGATTTTGGAGCGTTTTTGTCATTTTTCCCTTTCCTACTTTTTGAAAAACTTCTCGTGATCCTTCCGAGCCTTTCGACTCTGACGATTCTCGCGGTTGCCCTTACAAGCCTGGACCCTATGCCCTAAACCCTAAACCCTGAACCTTTGACCCTAAGCCCTAAGCCCTAAGCCCTAAGCCCTAAGCCCTAAGCCCTAAGCCCTAAGCCCTAAGCCCTAAGCCCTAAACCCTAAACCCTAAACCCTAAACCTAAACCCTAAACCCTCAACCCCAAACCCCAAACCCTAAACGCCAAACCCCAAACTGAAGGCTACAACTTCGGGCTCGGTGTCGAGTCACTGCATGCGCATCACTGGGGCAATCAGGCTGCAACGGCTCCGGAGGGTTTGGGTTTCGGGTTTAGGGTTTAGGGTTTAGGGTTTCGGGTTTAGGGTTTAGGGTCCTCCAGGGCTTGGGGACCTGATGGGGGGAGGGTGTGTGCTGTGAGTGATGCGACATGCCTGAAGATCTTAGGTGACCTGAAGTGGCTCTGCGAAGAGCTGATCTCCTCCATGGGCGTGTGCTGTTCGCAGTGTTGGGGGTTACCCTCAGCCCTAAACCCTAAACCCTAAACCCTAAGCCCTAAACCCTAAACCCGAAACCCTAAGCCCTTTGCTGATGCTAGGGACTGTTTAGAATTTAGAACCATGTTTTGGAACATTCGCAAGCAGCTCAGAGGGCCATCAGTGGCTCTCCAAAGTATGACCCCTTTTGGGGTTCGGGGCCTTGAAAGTAGGTTTGGGGTTTAGGGTTTAGGGTTTAGGGTTTAGGGTTTAGGGTTTAGGGCTTAGGGCTTGGGGCTTGGGGCTTGGGGCTTGGGGCTTAGGGCTTAGCGTCACAAAGGAGAAAGGAGAAGTGTTTCACCATCATCAACCGAAAGTCTCTTGCCTGACTTGTCGCTGAGATCATCTCCAGTCTGGTCTTCAGGGAGCTGGCCGTCGCAGTCCCTCTACAAGACGAGCCTCCGAAATCCCTAGGCCGGGGATTGGAAAGGTTGAGGGCTTTGAGGGTGGTTCTATGACCCCTTGATTTCGCTCAGCTCCTTTACAGGGATTCTGGAGCCACCCTGGTCTGAGGTTTGAGGGTTGGGATTTAGGGATTCGCCACGGCTTCCAAGCGGATTCCATGCGCGGCGAACATGGCAGGCTACTTGCTGCACCACGGAATCGAGCAGTTTGCTGGAAGCCGCATGCGCCTTACTGGCATCTCATCGGCGTTGCAAGCTCCCACTTGTCTGCCCCCAGCCCCCAAAAAGCCGCAATCTGCAGCCGACAGCTCTGTAACTGCAACTCCCTACAGATCTTAAGTAGATCTTGCCCCCTTGCCGCCCCAACCGAGAAAGACACTCATCTAGAAGAACCTCCGTATGACGTTTGGAGTCGGTCGGCGATCTCCATCGCTGATGCCCCCTTGCAGGGCTTGATGGATGTCTCACGGTTTAGGGTTTAGGGTTTAGGGTTTAGGGTTTAGGGTTTAGGGTTACGCACCTTTACAACGCGCGCGGGTTTCACATCGTGGGACATCATCGTGGGACATCAGCGTAAGAGTCGAAGTTGTCCTTGCGGCAAGAAACGTCATAGTGGCAGAAATCAGTGATAGTAGTAACAAGAGCCATCGCCGTCTGAGTAGTCATGATGCTAATGTTTGGAAGAAGCGTCACATTCGTAATTCTAGAGATGATCTTAATATTATTACTAGTAGTAATGCTAATTCAAAGTAGTACTCATAGTACAGCTGGTACTAATCTTAAAAGTCATACAAGGAATGCAGTAATCATAGAAATAAGTGTAGTAAGAGGAATAGTGCAAGTAGTCGCAATGCGAGCAGGGGCGTCACGAGAAATGATAGCAAGAGCCGCTCAAAATAGCATTCTCTTAATGGTAATGGTACAAACGGTAGTCATAGCAACTGTTATACGAGCCGCCAGGGGCTTACCGGAAACTGTCAGGTGCTTTCCATGGGCCGAGGGGTTTGAGGGCAACCACGCCACGAATTCTCCTGGGATCTCTGAGCATGTTGATCTTACGTGCCCTTGACCCTCTCCTTCTGCTATCTGCCTTTGGTATCTACGGTGCAGGGTCCTCTAGTCATGTCCACGCTCTCCGCAGTGTCTCCTCGCATTCCGGAAACAAGGCGCCACTCCGTGTATCCCTTCAATGGCTCCTGCACTGAGCACACGGACTATGGCGTGGTCACCTTTCAGCGACTTGCCACGGTGTGGCCACACTCGGTAGGTTCGGTGTGTAGATTTTTGGGTGGTTGTCAAAACTATGGTCCCTTTTTGGATCCCTAGTATACTACGGCACCTAATGTTTAGGGTACCCCAAAAAGGGATCAAGGTTTGACAGCCGCCCATATTTCATTCCCTTGGGGCAGCTTCAGTTCGTCAGCGAAGAAGGACAGGATTTCCAAAGCTTGAAACCCGTCGTGAACCAAGAGCCCGTAGAATCATCAGGATGACCGCAGCATCTGTCTAATCATGCGAGACCCCCAACATCACATGTTCGTCAGTTCATAGGGTTCTCCAAGGCAAAGCACTGCGGCTGGTCTTCAGGCCAAAGTCGCGGAAGTAGCTGTCATCGTCACATCTACGGTTATAGTTGCAACAGACGCGCCCGCACAGCCCTATGATGCCCACACGGCGCAAGCTGGCCAGTTCCCAAAATTACGGTCATAGCCGTATAATAGTAACCCCACAAGAGCAGGGCTGGGTGGACCGTGGTCGAAATTAGACGCATTCACATGCCACTGGTGCAGCAGGGCATGTAGTGCTGAGACCGGAACTGCAACAGCCCAACAGAATTTGTCCAACCCATGCTGGCAAAGCCTGTGGTGTAGGTTCTCAATGAGGCCTACCCATGTCGTTAACCCCTCCCCCCGCTGAACCCTAAACCCTAAACCCTAAACCCTAAACCCTGAACCCTGAACCCTGAACCCTAAACCCTTTTTGTGCGAGGGGCAGCTGCCTGATGGGAGATGGGTCCCCTTGCACCCACCAGCTTCTGGCCACGTGCCCTGAAATTCAGGGAACAATGCAGGGTTTAGGGGTTTAGGGTTTAGGGTTTAGGGTTTAGGGCTTCGCTGTGCAGAGAATCCTGCAGACAACGCGTACTAGAACCTCGTGGTAGGACGCCTTCTGCGGTTGTGTTATTCTAGTACTCAGACGTGGGAGAAATGCAGGCGGTTTGTGGGCAAGAGGCCAGGCAACACGCCGCCGAAGCCACGCGGAAGGTTGGCGGAACCAAGTGATTCGTGGATGCGGAACCTGCTAACAGAAAACCTACAAGACAACAAGAAAGGACCGGCTGATTGGAATCGTCAGTGCGATGGGTGTATCCCAGGAAGTTCAGGGTTTAGGGTTTAGGGTTTAGGGTTTAGGATTTCAGGTTTAGGGTTTAGGGCAAGTCAATGCTGAAAGCACTGGGTGTACCATGGCAGCAGTTGCGGTCTGTGGGGAATGGGAGTCGGGTTGCCGTGTCTCGGGCTTTCTGGCATGCAGGAAGCCTAGGACAACTGGGTCTTGGAGTACTATACTTTAATACTTTTTTTGGTTCTGGGTTCCTATTATAGCTACTTATACCTAAAAGTATATACTTTTTTTTTCCAGGGTCTACTCCAAAGCTAGGACAAGGCCATGTAGAGATTGAGAGTTGCTTTTTTCAGGGTTTCTGTGGGATCCCGAAGCTGAAGGGCAGTCTCTTCACAGGGCTCCTGAACCCTAAACCCGAAACCCCAAACCCGAAACCCTAAACCCTAAACCCTAAACCCTAAACCCTAAACCCTAAACCCTAAACTCGAAACCCGAAACCCCTAGACCCTAAAACCTAAACCCTAAACCCTAGGCCGCTATGTTGGGAAAGCTTATGTTGGCTGTTTATCCGGGCATCAGCAGTTTGGGGGGGCCTTCGGCAGAAGCTTGTTCTAGTAGGCCGCAGCCCTCTAATACTTGTGCCCAAACAAGGGTTTAGGGTGTAGGGTGTAGGGTTTAGGGTTTAGGGCTTAGGGTTTAGAGTTTAGAGTTTAGGGTAGTAAGAAGTTACCCAAAGGAAGCCAAAGCAGTTAAGACTCGGAAGCAGATGGCAACAGATGTGCCCAGGGGGCATTCTCTTCGCCGGTGACATGCTGGAGCGGATGACAAATGGGCAGGCTCCATGCCACTGACACCTATATCCTAAACCCTCAGCCCTAAACCCTAAACCCTAAACCCTAAACCCTAAACCCTAGATGAGAAGAAGGTCCGGGCGTTGGTGCATCGCGTGTGCCTGGAGCCAACCTCTGCTCGATCTTCGACGCCGATCGCCGTGCGACAGTCGCACATCTTGTTCCTTCAGCCGGACAGCATCCTGGCACTTCGTTTAGGGTTTAGGGTTTAGGGTTTAGGATTTAGGGTTTAGGGTTTAGGGTTTGGGTTTGGGGTTAGGGTTTGGCGTTTTGGGATCGTTCGTGTTCACACCAACTCAACATCAGCTGACTTTCGCAGTTAGATTGAGTTGTGCCGTTGTTGAAGCACACTAATGCAACTTACATAACGGGTCGTTGACGTCGACTTTGAACCTAGAACGTCGACATGTTTCGGCATCTGCACATGCCTGCAGCGTTTGATCTGCACAGTCTTCTGCCTCTCATGCCCTGCACCATTGATTCAGGGAATACAGTGGTACGCCCCTTGCGGCCCTTCTGCACTGGCAACGATCTGCCTCCAGTGCGATATGGTGACTGGCACAAGAGCAAAACCAGCCGCATGGCACCCTTCAGTCAAGTCCTTCAGTGTGTGGGGACATCTTGCGGGATGGCTTCAAGCGTCACAGGTTTGGGGCTGCGGTCGGTTTAGGGTTTAGGGTTTAGGGTTTAGGGTTTAGGGTTTAGGGTTTAGGGTTTAGGGTTTAGGGTTTAGGGTTTAGGGTTTAGGGTTTAGGGTTTAGGGTTTAGGGTTTAGGGTTTAGGGGAAGTCCCAAGGTCTTGCTTTTGCTCGGTGAGAGCTTCGAAACACAGCATCCGATGGTCCTCATGGGCCCATTCCAGAGGCGGGTCCCGGTGTTGCCCCGACTTGTGGCATGTGGCATGTATCAGACAGGGACCTGAAGAATTAGAACAGGGTTTTGAGGAGGGTTGATTGTAGCAGAATGAGAAAGGGGCTCTATTAAACCCTAAACCCTAAACCCTAAACCCTAAACCCTAAACCCTAAACCCTAAACCCTAAGCCCTAAACCCTAAACCCCAAACCCTAAACCCTAAAACCCAAATATAGGAACCATATTGGGAATTCTTCCGACCCCTACTCAAGTCTGACAGCTCGGAACAAGCTTGAGCTTCATCCCCTGGTATCCCGCAGCTCATGCCGACCCTAAACCCCAAGGGTTTAGGGTTTAGGGTTTAGGGTTTAGGGGTTTAGGGTTTAGGGTTTAGGGGTTTAGGGTTTAGGGTTTAGGGTTTAGGGTTTAGGGTTTAGGGTTCAGGGGCCCGGTTCGAAGCGGGCCGCGGCATGACGGCGAGGTGACCCGTGGAAGAGCCCATGCCTTTCCACAGGCCGGATCACTTTCAGAAGCTTTGCTCGACCTTGAAGACCAAATGAACCCTAAAAATTGGGGGTCCTATACCCTATACTGCTATAACTCCTATTAAGGTATGTGAACCATAAACCCAAATGAACCCCCAAATTGGGGGTCCTATACCCTATACTGCTATAACTCCTGTTAAGGTATGTGAGCCATCAACCCTTTTAGGGTTCATTTCGTCCCCAAGGAACTGAAGATTTCTGCCAAGCAGCTCTTTGGCTTGCATGTATTGAGGTGAAGTCTGCCCTGTCGTGTGCAGGTCCTACTCTGCTGGACCTCTGAAGACAATTTAACTCTGCAGACGGCAGCTGAGATACCGGAGCCTTCATACCATGACAGATATCCGAAACCCCATTTCGAGCGCAAAAATCTGTGAATGCTTCTCGGTCTCGCTTCCTTGCATGCTGGGTGGCCTGAAGTCGGTTCGACTGTCTTAGCTTGTCTGCATGATCCTCGTTCTGCAATGGAATCAGCACTTAGGGCTCTTAAGGCAGGGGGGTTCAAGGGTGGCATGTAGCCCAAGGCTCCCAAATACTCCCAACTACTCCGTAAGGCTCCCTAAGCTTCCTTAAGGTTCCCTAGATACCCTAGAACACTAGTGTGACAAAGCGACAAGCTAAGAGGGATGTTGCCCTGCGTACAGAATCTTCTGTCTGACAGTTCTGACAGTGCATGCTCGCCAAATGGCAAGCGTGCCTCCTTCACGGAGTCGCAGATAGCAGCAGAAAGGCTCTTGAGCGCTCACGGGGGTTTTTTGCGGATTTAGGATGGCCAGCTTGCTACCCGAAACCCTAAACCTTAAAGCCTTGCCCTAAACCCTAAACCCTGAACTTTAGCCCTAAACCCTAAACCCTAAACTCTAAACTCTAAACCCTAAACGCTAAACCCTAAACCCTTAGCCCCAAACCCTAAACGCTTCCTAAACCCCAAAACCCAAAACACAAAACCCAAAACCCTAAACTCTAAACTCTAAACCCTAAACCCTAAACCCTAAACCCTAAACCCCCCCCTAGAGGCGCTGCCGCCCTCCCCAGCGAGACTGGGGGCTGACCTCCCGGGCGCGGCAGGGGAGCTGGGTGGCCGGGTCTTCTGCAGCTCGGCTGGGAGGAGTTTAGGGTTTAGGGTTTAGGGTTTCGGGTTTAGGGTTTAGGGTTTAGGGACAGGGGGTTTAGGGTTTAGGGTTTAGGGCTTAGGGTTTAGGGTCTAGGGGGTTTAGGGTTTGGGGTACCGTCACAAAACTTGCAAGCTCATCCACTCTTCGGAACATCCTTGCTGGGTGCCTAGGGAGGGCTTGCGCGTAGATGTGGCAGAAGCCCATGTCAAGATCATCCTGCAAACAGCCCTAACTACATCAGAAACTACCCGAAATGCCCAGTCTAATTCAACATGACCCCCTTACGAAACATCCCTCTATAAATATGCTTCATCATCCACAAAAGCCCGCTTTCATAAATTCAAGGCCCCTCTGTCACATGCACCTGCTGGGCAATAGTATCCAATGGCCTCGCGTCATCCAGCCTATTTGGACTGCTATTACTGTTCCATGCTCAGTAGGGTTTAGGGTTTAGGGTTCAGGGTTCAGGGTTTAGGGTGTCTTTCAAAGCGCGACATCTCATATGCGATCTTGTGCACGCATGCTTCTGACGTTGCTGAGGCCACTTCTGCTAAATATGCTGACCAAGTCCTTGATATTGAAAACATGCTGCAGCGCATCCTTGAAACCGCAAAGGGCTAATATGGCGCATTGTTCGCTCACTCTTGTTTCGCCTTTCTCGCATCCGCACGACCGACAATACCCATTCCGAAACCCTCTGAACCCTCTGAACCCTCGGAACCCTCGCAACCCTCTAAACCCTCTAGACCTTTTAGACCCTTTAGACCCTTTAGACCCTTTAGACCCTTTAGACCCTTTAGACCCTTTAGACCCTTTAGACCCTTTAGACCCTTTAGACCCTTTAGACCCTTCAGACCCTTTAGACCCTTTAGACCCTTTAGACCCTTTAGACCCTTTAGACCCTTTAGACCCTTTGGACCCTTTAGACCCTTTAGACCCTTTAGAACCTTTAGACCCTCTCAACGATCTAAACCCGGTAAGCCCTGTAAACCCTATAAACCCTAAACCCTAAGCCCATTCGACTCAATCAACGCTCTTACGGCGAGCTCTTGGGCTTGTTGGTTTCCAGGGAGCAAAGAACCTGCAGACTTTTTCGAGTTCCATGACCTGTCAGAACCCTGTCTTAAAGATCAATGGCATGCTACCCTAAACCCCAAAGCCTAAATCTCAAACCCCAAATCCCAAGCCCCTGACCCCTAAACCCCAAACCCTAAACCCGAAACCCGACACCTTCAACCCTCTACCCTCAACCCTCTACCTCAACTTTCAACCCTCAGCCCTCAGCCCTCAATCCGCAACCCTCAACCCTAAACCCTAAGCCCTAAACCCTAAACCCTAAACCCTAAACCCTCAACCCTCAACCCTAAACCCTAAACCCTAGCCCTAAACCCTAAACCCTGAACGCCGAAGGTCGCGAGCTTGGGCAGCTCATCCTTGCCCTGCGTGGAGCGGGCTTGGAGGACTTGGCCGCTGGGCCGGGCGCCGAGTGGCAGGGTTCAGGGTTTGGGGTTTAGGGCTGAGGGTTAGGGTTTGGGGTTTGGGGTTTAGGGTTCGGTGTTCAGGCTCAGGGTTTAGGGTGTAGGGTTTGGGTTTACCTGAATCATGTGATCCCTGAACCTGAGTAGGTTTAGGGTTTAGGGTTTAGGGTTTAGGGTTTAGGGTTTAGGGTTTAGGGTTTAGGGTTTAGGGTTTAGGGTTTAGGGTTTGGGCTTTAGGGTTTAGGGTTTAGGGTTTAGGGTTAGGGTTTAGGGTTTAGGGTAAACCCTAAGTTCTAAGACCCTGAACCCTAGATCCTAAAACCCTACCCCAACCCTCCGCAGATCAGCTGACCACCTTCCAGGCTAAGCGGCCTCAGTGGCTTGGAGGCTCGGGTTTGGGGGGTGTTCAGGTTTAGGGTTTAGGGTTTAGGGTTTCGGTATGAGGGTTTAGGGTTAGGGGTTTAGGGTTAGGGGTTAAGGGTTTAGGGTTTAGGGCGAGCCATTCGTGTTTTCAAGTGTCCACAAGTGAGGGGCTGTTCGAGATTCTGGGCCATGAGCATTCTGGGCCATCATCATGCTTATAGGGCTTAGGGTTTAGGGTTTAGGGTTTAGCTTTAGGGCTTGCGGTACTCACAAGGGCACATTGTAGAACAAAGCCCTCATGGCTTCGCACACTCTCTGCGCCAGGATCCACCGGTCCCACCGTTGCCACCACCTTTGGTGGCAAAGCTGGACTTGAATGTAGATGAGGCCGATAGTTGTGGCTATTTTGTGCTCCGGTGTGTTTTGGGGTGCATGGCGCGCCAGCAAAGGCTCCAGAGGGGCTCATGTAAGATGCGTGCAAACACGCGGGGACACTTTCGTGCACATGATGAACATCTTGCTGCGTGTCCAACTTTTTTGTGGGGGATGTCAAGTGCCGACCACCCAGATAAATTGCTCCCCAAGGCATGCTTGTTTCCATGGAAGCTATGCGGCGTCTTCGGTGGACATCGGCTGGCTATGCCTCGCGATGCACCCCCTGCAGATACAACGCAAAGGGAATTCAGGGTACGTTCACGAAGTGGCTCCATTCCAGCGCGCTTCAGCTGATCACACACACACACACACTCCTGAAGGGGGGCTTGGCTTGCTACTTCCCCGCATGAGAAGCGCAGCGATATGAGACATCACCAGCCTGCAGCCAGAAACTTGTTTCGCTCCGCTCCCCCTCCTTCCCGGCCCCCCAGCTAGCTGCTTGCAGCGTTTATTTATCTCCCACCCTCGCCCGGAACTCTTCTCCTCGCCCGGAACTCTTCTCCTCGCCCGGCTCGCTCATCCCTGGAGTGCCCAACCCCAAAGTGTCCCTGGGTGCCCAACCCCAGAGTCTCCCTGGAGTGCCCAACCCCAGAGTGTTGCCAGAGAGGGTGAGGATGTTCGAAGTAGAATAATAAGGGAATAGAGGCCTGGCAGCCTCGCTCGCGGCCAGAATCCGTGTCTCCGTCTCTCGGAGCCGTGAGGGCTGTCTTCCCAGAATCCACCTGCTTGGGGTGGGCCGCGTGTGGTTGGGGTTCGGGTCTTCGGGGGGGGGGTCGGGGTTCTGTGAGCTCTTCCCGCTTCTTCCCGGGGTGCCTTGCATATGTGCCTCCAGAGTCAGAATGGGCACCAAACGGCTTAGGCCCTTCCTGTGAGCTAAACTGGCAGCCCAAGACTTCCAAGAGTCTCCACACAGAGGAACGAACAAGTGCAGCTGCAATCCTGCGCTGCTGAAAGGAGGGGGGCTACCCCTTCTGGAGGTTCCTTCAAAAAAGGAATATAACACGCTTGCGTCACGGCAAGTTGGGGTGGTC